TGAACTCAAACAGAGATGTCCTCCACATCAAGTGAATGAGGTTGACAGAGCTGTCATTAACCAAAACAATAAATGCAAGTATCACATGTTATTATGACAATACTAATATGCCACAAATAAATGCATTCATAAAGTTCCTCCAGAACTCTCAGTTGTATGTCATGAACTATAAAACAAATCCTAAAGGAGGATCAAATGTAGGAAAAACCTAAAAGTGCATAAGAACTTGTGATTTTAAACCTTCATGGCCTTCTTGTCCAGAAATTTCAACAAACAATCTCCAACAGTCAAAATATCCAAAAATATTGATGCTTTATTTAATAGCTTGCTAAATTACCAAAGGGATGTTCAACAGACTAGCACTTCAGAAATATGATAATTAAGGGAGGAAAAAAAAACACACAAACAGAATATTGCTCTTGAAAACATTGCTACCTACCTCCTGATCAGACTGTCTTTGACAGTCCTTTGGGACCTTACTATTGTCATTCAAAAGAAAAAAGGTTGTCTGACCTGAAAAGTCCCAAATGCGTAGCTGCAATTACAGGTTAAAATGTTATCCCTCTCTTGCAACAATATATGAATTGTTGTACAAAGATTTTCTTCATTAAGTAAAATTGTAGACAGAATATTTCATTACCATCTCTGAATCCATACAGAATATCTTACAGGATCTTTTGAAGAGCTCAACTGTATTGTCCTAGAAAGAATAAAAAATGGAAGAACGTCTCACAATTCAATGAAATTAAAAAGCAAAAAGAACACTTTAACAATGGCATCCATGATTCACCAATAATAAGTGAACATAAAAATAACTCGAACATGAACAAACTGTCCAAAAATGATAACATTTCAGTTTTGTTCACTATTTCCTCAAAACTGAAAACCATAAATCCACCAAAACATCCTGATGCACTGAATAAGGTAACACGACTAATTTTATAGACAGTAAATGTTCCAGTAGAGATATCATCATTTCAAACCACATTTTAATGGATTACAAAATCCAAGTTTATGCCATAGGTTCATCACATGTATCAGTCTCCTCCAACATTTCATGAAAAACTCTACTGACAGAATTAGACCACAGATAAAGGAGGTTGATCAATCCAAAAGCATTTCCACTAACTACAGCACCTCTTAGATAAGAACAACGGCAGAGAGGGAGGGAAGGAGATTTACCTTTTTGCTTATTCTTACTCCCAATGAGTTTGTTTCCCTCTGGACAGAAAGCCTGAGCTGTAATGGATAGACCTCTGCAATGTCATCTTCTGTAGCTGAAAAGGCTTTACCGTCTTTCATTGTATTTTTTGAATCACTATGCCTAATGAAATTTCAAAGCAAGTGGTAGGGAATGTGTTAACGAACTTAGTACTCTAAATACCAGAAAACTTTTCATCAGTTTCATAAAGGGACATGAACCACTTCTAATGTCAAATCGACCAAAAAAATTAATAATGTTTTGATAAAAGAACACAAAAGAAACCAGCATTAACCCATTTATTTATACAGCTATACCATTCGCTACTAGATATTCTAATAATAAGCATGGAATATAGACACTTCAAGACATATAACCAATTGTTGCAGTCAGAAACCATGCATGTCATTTTCTTCCAACTTACAAATTCTTAATAATGATAGCAAGCAACAACATTTCTGACCTGATTCATTGAATAACTGAAAAACTATTTGTTCAAAAAATCATGATCCTGTCAATAGATACAAAGGTCTCCCTCTCATGTTTGGAAGAACAATAGAAATGCATCATGTCACAGCAAAGAAGGAACTACTGAAACAGCTATAAAAAGGGGATGAAAGTTATATGAAATTGTCAGCTAAAAACCTCAATCAGATCAATATACATGACATTTTCTGACTTATATGGATGTGGCTTCAAATCAGATGGCAAATAACTGAAGATTCCAATTTGATCTTAAATTTAATGGAATCATAATGAACGATGACTTTGCCTAGTAATTCAGTGAGAGTGATACAAAGGACGTTCATCAGTTATACACAGAATGAGAGAACGGTTAAGATGGCATAAGCACAATGCAGCAACATAAACCATAATTTTGAAAACCTACGAGAACTTCGCACAGCAGATGCAGCTATCTAAATTGCCCAAAGTTAATGGAAATCAAACTAAAGGTTCAGTCAAATACTTGCACCAGTTTACTTTCTACCTAAAATCTCACACAGCTTTAATACAACCATCTCTCTACACACATGTGCAATCTTCAAAACAGCCAGATATAGATAGATAGATAGATATAGAGAGAGACGGGGGGAAGTAAGTTTAAACCACTCACCACTTCAGTGCCTGCAACCACATATCCCCAGGCACCAAAGCAAAGTCCCGTCCGGACACTCCTGCTTCACCATCTTCACGATTCTGGGCTGAATCATCCTCTCTCCTAAGATTGAATACGAGATCCGAGTTGAAAATGTTATTGATTATCTTCATAGGACCGCATAGGATGAACATGGAAAAGCAGTATACAAGATCCCTCTCTTCCCATCCGAATCTCCGGCAATTGAATCCTGTGCATCCTTCCACCACCTGAAACACGCAAGTGAGCGCTAACACCCAAACCCACTCTGTTGATACATTCAATGACTATCTGCCAATGCAGATAACGCCAGATCGTATAGAAGTAAAAAGTAAAGCAGAAAACCGATACAGTGGCTGATAGCGAATAGTGAAAAAGATACAAAGCTGATCCATAGAGGCAAGCAATTAAGCCGCAGCTTGATTGCTCTTGATTGTTTTCGTTTGGCAGTTAATCATCCAATTAGAATAGCCATTCTCAAACTTGCTTTTACTTATTGGGATTTATGTGCAATTTATTGAAAAGCAAACGAACCCCAATGATGAAACTAAAATAAGAAAGTTAAAATTTAGTTCAGATTCGAAGAAGTTGGTGAGGAAAGTACAGAACTGAAGTGACAAAGGAGTGAATCTGGAGAGCAAAGAGACCTGTAAGGAACCAAGTAGACTCGTTGGTCGTTGTCTTCAGGGCGTTGAGTGTTATCGGAGATATCTTCGGAGGTACTGTCCATCGCAAAGAGAAGGGGGGATTTAGGAATTGCTTGGGAAAATGCAGATCATTTCAAGAAAGAAGGAGAGAGAAAGCAGGGAATGGCCGATTTGCAGGGAAACAAGTGGAGCTTGTCTGTGAAGAGGATACACGGAGGGAAAAATATATCGATAAGTAAAACTGCGTTATTTATAGGTGGACAAATTGAAAATTTTCTCGGTCAAAAAAAAAATTAAAAATATAAAACTCCAATCTGTTTTGTTTTTTATATTTATTTATTTTTTTTAAAATAGTCCTTATAATAATAATAATTCTAACAAATACACTTAATTAGTAAGGATATTTTAAAAAAGACAATATATATTTATTAAAAATAACTAACTTAATTTCATTCCTTAATCTCTTCAAATTAGTCAATTAGCTTTTATATTTAGAATCAGAAGTAGTATTTATCAGCTGTAGTTTGATTGCCTTTAAATTTTCTAAATTGGAAATTTTATTTTATTTAGTTTTGTTAAAATTATGTTTATATGCTGTCTCAAAAAAATATTAGCAAATATTGGAAGAATCTCATTAATCGTAACACATTTATATTTTAAATTTTGTGCCTGTTCACGTATTTAAAAACTTAAGTACTTATTATTTTAATACTCTTGAAATCAACTGATGTAATTTTAAAAGATAAAAAGTGTAATGATTAATTTGCAGTTATTTATGACATGAAAAACGTTCATGCATTAGGACAATCCGGTAATGAGGGAATCATTTTTAATGCCAGAAATGAGAAAAATCAAAACTATCAATCAAATTAATCCAGTGCAATTTATGAGAAAATAATTATTGTTTTATAATAATGTCCTTTTCCTTTTATGATTGGTACGAATCATTAGTAATGTGCGTGACATTTAATTCCGATATTTAAAGTAATTTCTCTTCTGCTCGACACATCATATATTGTTCCGTGACGAGATTCAGATATTATGTACATGTATGTGCGCGCCTACGAAATTTATTTCTCTCTCTGTTTTTTTTTCTTTTTGTTAAAATATTTCATTGTCACCCGAAAAAATCTCAACGTCGCTCTATTTTCTTTTTTTTTATTCTACTTAAATAGGATCTACACCAATCCAGTAAAAAGGGCTATAATATATATATTTAAAAAGTCAAAATGATGGAAGACCAAGGTAGTCCTTAAAAATGGGTAAAAATACTAAGAAGCACCAGGATGGTCACTCATGGGTTGACAGTGACAACTGATCTGGGGCTAAGAGATCTTTTATCAAAGCATATCGTTGTCTCCTCCTCCCATAGGACAAGGAACAGGGAAATCCTTCGTTAACTTAATTGGCTTTTTTTGGGCCAAAATTAAATAAATTGATTCAATGCTTTTTATGTTTAACTTTTTGCACATAACTTGAGGTCGTAGCCTTTCACCCTAAACATATCATTGTTTAAATCAAAACTTCTTTAACAACTTTAAATTAGCAATATTTAATTTTATATACAACGTTAATTATCATCTTAGTCTTCCTAAAAGATCTCTCTTGATCAAGAGTTCGAACAATGGCATATTCCAGCCCAGGTAGAAGTTTGGTTAAATACGATACGGACTGGAAGACAATTTAGGAGGTGTTTAGCTTAGCTTATTTTAAGTAATTTTACAAGTTTTGTCCCAAAGTGATTTTTTGAGTGTTCTCAGTCACTTGCAAGAACACAAACTCGGACAACGATAAGTATACATACAGATGTGACATTATAATTTATATAGATGCGCTCACAGTCTAGTCTATTGAGAAATTTTCATGGACTCGAATTATGAATTTTATTGCTTATTTGGTAAACTCAAAATAACCAACATTTTCCACGAAGTCAACAACCAAATGAACAAACACCGAAAAATGTAAATCAGAAAATAGATACATCTAATGTTTCAAAGAATAACCCTCCATTTTTCACTTAAAAGAATAATTCTGCATTGCATTCTAATCTCCGGTACTAGACAAAGGCCAGACAAAGAATGTCATTGGCTTGGTCCTTTTGTCTTTCTGATCCAGGAAAATAAAAATATTTTCATGTCAAAATTTACTTCAATAAATTCCCCAAGGATTATTAATATACTTTCACAGCTTGATTTATATAGAGCTAGCCAGAAATCCTCGTTATGGGAAATAAATGCGTAAGATACAGTTTCGTAGACACAGATTGAGCATATCACTGATACATCTATATAAGCAGTTTAATTTGAACCTATGGGCTATGGCAACTCAGTTGTAGTGGCGCGATCCAGTGTCATAAACACGGCCCCCAGGATATGATCCTCTAGGCTCAAATTCTTGAACTCTTGCACCTCCTCCAAGAAATCGACTACGCTCCCCATATCGATCGTAGGGATCGGCTGCATAGCCACGTTGCATTTGCATATCTCCAACTGCCGTGGAAGCAATAGCAGAATTGTAACCACAAGGATCGCCGGGAGGCATGCCACTACTTGGGTGAGGATCTCTTATGTTTTGCTGGTATTGGTGTTGTCTTGCTTTGGATTCTCTTTGAAGAAACTCATTTCTCCTGCCAGCATGCTGAGCTCGAAGTGCCGCCAATTTTTCTTCATACCGAGCATTGATAGCATTTAGTTTCTGAAATTACACAATTCAGAAACAACGTTAACATATGGCTAGAACATAAAATTGATTTAAGAGAACATTTAAAATTTGTGATAACATGCTCTCAAAAACACGAAGGGGGGGGACATCATCTGCCCCCACCTTCACCATGCTCCCAAAAAGCATTCAAGTAAGCAAAATTTTGTTCACGGTTTTGGTTTGTGAATCTATGAATGCAAGTTATCCTCAGTAAAGGTGAATTTCCAAGAAGAGGCCGGGGAGGCAGTAGGCAGCTACAAGCAGCCAAGAACTAAATAGGGTTGAATTGGTGCTAAAAGATGAACCTAACTCAGCATAGAAAGATACGGATCAGAGTCATAGAACTAATATTCAATACAATATCAAGATCATACAATACTGAAAATTTATCTTTCTGCTTTAAAAGACGCAAATGTAGTGTATAAGTTTCTATTTATGTGAATTTGCAAAACGCCATAGTCACTTTAAATTTTTTAAATATCAAGGAAACGGACAAGCTTGAGTTATGTTAATATGCCAGAACCTTGGTTGGAAGATTTACATATTATATACAACTGACAAGCTCTTCCCTTTAAAGGACACCAAGTAAAACTTGTCAAAACCTGAGCTCCCAGGCTAATTCCCTCCTGCTAAGAGCGAACTCATACCTCTCACCAATGAACCAAACCTAGTGGCTTGCTAACTCCTTTCCTAATAAACTAGCACACTCGTCACGCATTTAATACAAAGTGAAAACACTCAGCACATTCCATCACCCATTTAATGTTGACTTACTTCATTCTCATTATAAAAGAAATATCACAGTTCCATACAGAAGGACCTAAGTGGCCTTAATCAAAACCTTTCACTGTGTGTGGAAGTCTAACCAATCAGTTAATTGGTTTGATATCACCTCATTTGATTTTTTTTTTTCAAAAAAAAAAATCCATACTAAATAAGACTGCAAAGATCACAAGGTGCTCCGATTTCCATCAGAGGTCTGACCTCTGAAGCATCACATATCAAGACAATAAGAGATGAAAGACGAAAAGATAATGAAAGGCAGAGAAGAATTCAGTCATTTCAAAAACAGAAGAAATAAATTAACAATGTTAAAATAAACTGGAAAAAACAATGGAGACAAAATGTCCTAACTAACCTCTCTGTGCCTGGCGTTCTCTACATCTTCAGCATCATTCTGTTCTTTGGATAGCTTTAGAATGTCATCCAGAAACCTCTGCTCAAGACCTTCATAAGTTTGTGATAAATTATTCGCCTCATATATAACATCTGTGTCTTCTTTATGGACCAGAGATCTGAGGTTTTTGCTTTGATTCTGCAAAGCTATCTTATGATCCGGCCTCTGATCCTGAAAAAAGGATCTTGGAGCATCACCCCCTTGACCTGACAGACAATGGTTTCCTTAAGTTAGGAATTCAAAAATGCTGTCCCTGATGGATATGGACATCAGGATCTTGGCATTACACACGTACAAACTAATGTTACGAAAATTCAAAAGTGAGACAGTTTCTGCAAATGTGGCAATGGTTGGTGAACAACAATATTATTAAAGTTTAATCAATGAACAAACAAGAAATTTTTAATTTTCCAATATATTACAAATTGATTCTAACGATGCTAAGGATGTAAGTAATTTCTATAATTAGCAATGTACGGTAAGAAAAAAGATGCATACAGACTAGCACACTATATTAAACCAAAAAATGCGGCACTTAGACAGATTTTGAAGCTCAACCAAATCAAATGACGCCAACAGCAATTCGCTCTGGAAGAAAGAAACTAACCTAATTGACCCATGGGATATTGGTACGCCATATCTCATTTAGTAACAGAATGCTTCATGATTTAACATTTTGAAAAAGATAACAATAACCAGGAAAGTGTTTTCCCATTCTAGATACCTAATTCCCTGAGAAACGATCAGCATGTCGCATTTATTCAATTCCAATCACTAATAAAGCACGTGTCAAAAAAATAGGCATCACTGTATCATAACACATCATTAAGTCCTTCATTAATGGGTCCTAATGCAGGCCCCTCACCCCAAGCAGCATGAGGCATTGGCACTTATTGGCAGAACTGAGACAGATGCTGTTGAATAAAACTACACATCTAATGATTTAGTGAATGCCCCCACCAATTCAGAACACCGCTTATTAACCTATGCACTGGCCACCAAGACTATCAAGACCAAAGCATTGGATGTATTTACAGTGACAAAGAAAAAGACAAGTAACATGTTCACTGCATCTAGAATAAATAAATTCACTCATTAAAACTTGAAATTATAAAAGCTTGTAATTCAGACATCTAGCTTTGACTTCGTTATGTCTCCATCTAAAGAAAACTTCACAAGCGTGCATGCAGGAGCAACAAACAGCACATTTTCTACATTGACATACAAGATGCCATCGAATTCATCATATTTGATCCATCCATTTCCCATCTTCGCTGAACCTCTGGCTTGGAATTTGCGTATGGATTCTCTCTCTCTGGAGTGAAGGCCTCGAGCTGTTCTTCAAAATTATTAGGCTTGGTTTCCATCCTCTGATCAGCCATGTGATGCATCTGAGCAGCAACATAAGCATTGGACGATGGATCACCATACTGTGCCTGCTGTCTCATTTTTACAAATAATGAAGACTATTCCTATATAGACCTGTCAGACACAAGAACCACAGGAGCCCAAGATTAATTTATTAAACCATATCAGACATGAACCAGATTGCAAGTATAGGTACGTATGTTTTGCTATCATAAGAACTGTTTCCAGATGAAGAAATAGGCATAGTCCACTGACAAAATGCATTAGATTTTTTTAAAAAAAAATCATTCTTACAAACTTGAGAAAGTGAACACCTGATAAAAGACATCTTATAATGGGATTTTATAAAGTAGACCCTTTGAGAAGTTAAACTGATATCTCTCAAGTTTCAAAGCGCAATCACATTAGATATGTTGCAAAACTTCCAAACTGAGCATCACATATTACAGCCTCCAGACAAGAGAAAAGACCAACACATGAAAATCAACTTCAGCTTAAGTCCACCATCGATGATACATTTTTTTTAGTAAAACCTACCAATTAATTACAAACGAAGAGTACGAATATTAGTCCCAAAGAAACTAAGAAAGCACAATAATCAAAAGCATAAACATCATATTAGGCGTAATAATATTAGGATGGGAAAGCGAAACAAGAAGATATGACAAGTCAACAAGCCAACTAAGCTATCAGATAGGAAAAAGAGAGATATGATAGCATCGATGAAAAAGGACATAATGCTCTAAAGTTCTAAACTTTAATCAATCTGCCATATTAAAAGAATCGACAATCCCTCCTCCATTGCATGATAAGTTTTGTGAGCAAGAAAACTGCCCAGTTCCGAGCGTATACCATAGACCCATGCATCCCAGTTGCTGAAGATACAAAATAGGCAGCTATCACATATTCCCAGTTCGTCAATTCTTATCCGATACATGTAAGGAAACCAAATTATAAGAAGTAACGACAAATGAGACAAGTAATGGGAGCTAAAACAGCGACATATATCCCAGCGAAAGCTAATCAGAACCCTAAGTGTCAGCAAAAAGGCAAATTCGCAGAGGCTCAGCGAAACTCGCCTAGAAAATTACAACTCTCCCCAAAAAATAAAACAATGAATGAGAAGAATGAAGATAGAAATAAGCAGGAAAATAAGCATACTAACGTGCGTCTACGTCTGTCTTCTCCGTCTTCGGTCGGAGTTGGGGCCAGGAAGGTGACGCAGAGACCGGAGTGTGACAGTCAGAACTCAGAACAGCGTTGGCAGCTTGGCGATAAATGGCAATGCCCTTGAATCTGGACTTTATCTATTTTTAAATAAGAAAAAGATCCGGCACATTGGTGGGTAAATAATCCATCCGATCCAAACCATCAGGTGTAAAGATCTGGATCCAATTCAGAATGATTACACGAGGTTCATCAACAGGCACGGTTCAATTATGGGATAGTGCTGAGTCTCTTTGGAGACATCCAATGGGACAATGCTACCACTAAGGTCCATCAGGCGTTTGATAAAGAGTGGCTCATAAATTCGAATCTTATTATTAATATAAGATTTTATCGGTGAATAACATGCAAACTCTTTTGGCCAAAAAAAAAAAACATGCAAACGCTCTCCTTGTTTTGCTGGTCAAAAAACGCTCTCCTATTTTGGAGAAGTTAGCCTACCGAAAAAAAAAAATTATGGGATAACAATATTGGAAATAATCATGAATATATACTCCTCTGATCCTTAATATAAAACCCATTTAACTAATTTGATTAGATTAAGGAAATTAGGTAAGTTAGTTAATTATAAGAAAAGTGACACATTTTTCTTAAAACACCATAATCATCTTTCTTAATACCATTCTCCCTCTTCTACTTGATTATGGTTGAAAGAGTATCTATATAGATAATTTAGAAAAAATTGATAAATATAAGAAATGGGTCTTATATTTAGAACCAAAACCAACTCAAAAATTGGATTCTATATTAAGGACTGGAAGAGTATAATAATAAAATTATATGTTTGAATCCAAAAATATATATAATAAAAGAGACAATATTTATCAACATATTCATATTTAATAAGCATGGAAAAAAAAATTAAAAGAAACGTATGCATATACGTAATTATATATTCTAAATTTACAAAATTATAAATTATGAAATAAAACATGTGACTGGCCCAAGATTAATAGAAGGCCATTGGCCCAAGGGCCGCCGTGACTTGTGGATATGCAAATGGGCGCCTGAGCGAGCCTGTAACATGACATACTTAGTACAGATGTGCTTCCTTTATCTCCACTCATATTATAAGGCATGATTTTTATTTTTATTTTATTTCTAAATACAACTCCCGGTCAATTTTCAAGACGTAATGATTACTTGTCAGCATCACAGAAACTTCGGAGAAAGGCGATCTTACAGCGTGGAAACAAAAACAAAATAAACACGCTCGCATTTGAAATTATAAGATTCCTTTTCTCATTACAGCTCAAGCCGTACTCATTTCAAGATCCTGGACATGATCTTGAAAGTAATAGCCAGCATCGAACCTTTACTTTTTACCCGGTGAATTCCCAGGGGCAAAACGTTACGCCACATCAGACGTTCTGGCGTGAGAAAAATATCCTCATGGAGGAAATCAGGTTAACATGAAACTGCGTCATGCTATGCAAATACCACTTCAGAGTCCGCAGAGCAGACCCACTGATACAATCAAATATATGTTCGCACAGTAATTTGCATTGGTTCATGCGTTGGGACAGCTGACATACACATAGCACATATAACAAGACACTCAACAACTACGAATTGAAGGCTACAGGAACATAGGAGATCAATGATGGAAAGCACGTTTAAACATCCGACACTGAAGACCTAAAACCAATTTTGAAGTTGAAGCTAATGCAAGATAACTGCTCTTCGTTCACATCCTCCATCGTCATCTTTAAAGTGTAGGAACCCTGCAAAATTAACAGCATTAAAACGCAGACTTGTGCTAAACCATAAAACAGAAATTGTACAAAAGGCAAATCATTTGCTAAAGTAGAAAAAATGGCTAAAACATTCATATAACAATCAAACATGAGGTAAAAAGGACAACAGAAAAAGAGTCCAAGTTACTCATGAAGAAGATGTAGAGTAAAAGATACAAATCATACAAAAGGCGAATCAATCCTTCAAGCAGCAAAAATGGCTAAAACATTCATTAAACTAAAACAAAAAAAGTTCTGACAAGGGAAGAGGAGTTACACTGGATGTCAGTGGCGTTGATCTAAAAGAAGGGTATTAGATGATGGAAGCTTGACATGAATATGCAATTAGCAGCACACAAGAGACCTATCCCATCCTATGCTTCTACAGTCTCACAATTAATAGTTGTTTATGGAGAAGGCATTTCAGGTCTTCTATAATTTACAACTCCCACAAAAGTAAGGCCTAATGCATAAAGGCTAAATTCAAGGCACATACGATGCACTACAGGCTCCCTCTCACACATGGGAATTTAAATTATTCTTCATTGTCAAGCAAAGAAGGAATTGAACCAATTGACAGTCGATAATGATTCTGCTTCCAGGATAACTTTAAAAACTCCAAAATTGAAGTTATCGATTAACCTAACAAAGGGATTTGAGTATAAGCATATGCTAAGATAGACAGACAGTCAATAAGTAGCTATTGTTAGAAGTTTTCAAAAGAATATCAACTTTATAACCATAGGGTGAATTGCCAATATAAATGCTAGAGCTGCAAGTACTTAAAGAAAAATATAGAGAAAGAGTGCACTCATAGCGATTTTAAGAAAATGATATGACTAGTTATGGTATTATGCACTTTCAGAGAGCCAATGGTGTGCGTGAAAGAGAGTGAGAAGCCATCAAAACGCAAACATAAATCTCATGCTGTCAAGAAATATTGGACGTTTTGCTGCCATGACAATTTGGTATTTAGTTTCAGATGAACTTAGTGTCACAAGAAAGTGAAACCATCAAAGGCTGACACCTTGATAAAAGGGGTAAAAGAAAAATGTAAAAGATACTGCTCAGCTATCTTTTACATACTCACTGTCAATATAATTAGCATCAGATGAACTTTTTTGAGTGAAACATCAGATGAACTTAGTGTCACAAGAAAGGATAAAAACTTGATAAAATAGGGGGGGGGGGGGAACTGTAAGAGAACCTACTCAACTATCCCTTTCCAGAAAGGCTTGCAAATTAACCATTACCAACTAGCTTGGCGTAGATATCAAAGAGTCCAAATCGGGCAAGCAAAACATCCAAGTTACTTTAGAGGCAACAAGTGAATCAATTGCATAGGCTATTAACTCTACAAGCATCAAAGATGCACCAGTGATGTTTAACACTATAAGAGAAGAAATCAATACTGTAGCATTTACATTGCAACGGTTTTAGCAGCTCAGATCCTCGAGGAGAGATAGCATATCAACTTCAATTTTGTAAATGCCCTATTAAGCATATTCAGTAATGCCAGCATGCATGGAATGGAACTTCAACGGGCCCCAAACAGATGTCAACAAAACTTATGATCATGAAAATATAATTGAGGACAATTAATTTAGCTGATAAAAAACTGTCATCATTCGAATGAGATAAATTGCTGTTTTTAGAATGTATTTAATCAATATTGCAAAGAACAAGTAGTTGGTATAATGAAGCTAACTGGCGGGGTAAATGAAGGCAGTGTTTGGGTGTGAGCAATCTCAAAGTCGCCTGGTGCAACAGGACAGGACACTTCATCACATAGATCACGGGTTTCTGTATGGACATGCACCCCAAAGTATGAAACTTCAATTATTAGTTTCCCACCGGAAATAGCTTCACCTGCAAGAAAGATGGGCAGAAACTCCACTTGTTATTAGTTGAAGCAACCAAACGGTGAGAATTAAATTACACAAGCATCTCTCACACACATAATGAATTGTAAAAAAAAAAGTTCGATCTAATTGTTAAAAGAATCCCGAATCTTTAAGTATATTTTATATATGAATCATTCTATTTCTTTGTAAAAGGAAATACAAACAAATTCAACCATGTTGTAATTAAGTGTGGTTAGCTTCACCCTGATAGAAGTTTGACAGAGTCCATCCTCTAGCAAGGAAATGAAAACAGTCTATCATGCGCCAAAAGGTGAGAAGAAAGAGCATGACGGAAATTGGAAAAACACCAATATAAAATGAAAATAAAGAGAAATAGAAAGAAGGAACAGAAGAGAGAGATCACCAGTAGAAGCTGATATTTTAAAGGTAGCAGGCTTCCCTCTCACCACGGGATCAGGCATTATATTAACTCCAGCCACCTTCACAGCATAGTTTTGCTTTTTATCTGCATGGATTTTGAGACGAAATATTAATATACAAAATATATATCACGACCTGAAAGAAGTTGATCGAAGTGGCTAGTTAACTACGTCAGCCAGCCAGAAGCTCAAAATCGACATGACACAAGTATAGAGGATATAAGAAAAAGTTAACCAAAAATAGAAATCTAAAAGCAGATTTAAATAGAAAAATAAACTAAAAATCTGTAGATCACAAATGAAAACATGGAAAGCAAAGAGACTCTACTAGCAATTTCAAAAGACGAAAAGTAACCAGTAAAAGAGAAGAAAACCTACTGGGTGAGAACTGAGAAGAGGTACAATTATCATCAGTTTGGATCAAAGATAAGATTCATAAGTAACACTAATCAGCAACCAGAACAAATTAAACGGGACAGTATAAGTAATTAAAGAAACTCACTTTAAATTCATATCCTCAACTGACTCAGCTCGATTAAAAAGACAGGTCAAACGAGTGGGGAACAGCAAACTCACCGCAGTATTTGACCCTCCGAGCTTGAGCATGAGGAGATGAAAGCAAGAGGATTGATAAGCACAGAAGAAGGTGGAACTTAAGAGCAGACTGAATCGCCATGGGTCGCTGAACGAAAGCAGGATGAGCAGGAAAACTGAGAGAGAAGGCGGCCACTGTACCGGACAACTCCCGTCTAGATGTTTTCGACTCCTGAACGTCGTGGCGCTTCCAAACAATATACAGGCCGGATATTTATTTAATTCTTGGATGAATTCTCGTTTTGGTCCTGAATCTTTTTCAAAATTTCACTTTCACCTGTAGCAATATTTTGTATTACACAGATACCCTTTTCGTAACCGTCCTGAAATTATGGCCCATTCCCAAGTCATTAACCAAAGCATCCTTTGAGGCCTTAACCAAAAAACCCAAAAAAAGAATAGAATCTTTATTCGTTGAACAAAGACAAGTGGTACAAATATAAAATTGGATTGACATTTTTTTTAAAATTTTTGAAACTCTCATTTGTTGTGGTCAAGACCAAAAGAATATGCAGCGCCAACGATAATGCTATAAGACATAAGTTGGTGGAAATTGGCCAAATTATGTCCCAACTGAACCAATAAAATTGAACATTTAGAGAACACTTAGAAGATGGGAACCAAATTATAATTCTAAAAAATAATTTGATAATATACAAAATAAATATCTAAAAAAAACTTATCTCTATTTATATAAAATTATTTTTTAAAAAAATTACTTTTAACATATATTAAACACTTTTTTGGTCCTCCCTGCTAGAAGGTCGACTCATTTGTTCACCTGTAAGGTGTAAGACTTTCATCGGCGGGTGTGTTCACTTTCTTGCTGACAGTCTGACACCCTATTTTTAGGAAAACAAATCAGACGGTCTCTAATTCCTATTTTATCCGAAAACAAAATGTTAGGAGGGATTTAGATAGAAATACTGGTTTTAAAAATAAATACGTTGAAAAGTTTGTCTTAATTTATAAAAAAATATTATTGAAAAGTATTTTTACAGTTTCTTAAACACCTTTTTAATATTAAATCCGATCCTAATTATAAGAGCTAGTTGACTAATTTGAGGAGATTAAAGAAAGAAGTTAAATTAGTTATTTGTAACAAGCAAGTGTTGTCTTTCCTAAAATATCCTTATTAATCAAGTGTATTGGTTAGAACCACTATTATTAGAAGGATTACTTTAGAAAAAAAATACATAAATATGAGAGATAAAATGGATTAGGTTCTTATATTTAGGATCAAAATAAAAGTCAAATAAGATTTTATATTAAAGATAGGAGGTAGTATTATAAACGGAAAACAATAAAGAAAAAAAATCACCCGCGCATTGCGTGTTGTGCGTGCAATGCTATTTTTTAACAAATCAAACACCTTTACCGATTACCACGCACGAGTACTGTTCACGCTTTTAAAAAAAATTCCGTGGTGCATAGAGATTAGCTTTTTTAAGAAAATTGCAATTTACTATGATGGGTAAATTACTCATGACATATTTCATACCGACTAAGAAAATTTTAAATTTTATTAACTCTCTTTTAACATTTAATAATTTTTTAACTTTATCTCTATTTAATATACATTATACCTTATGTAAACAAAGTTAATACAATAATAAATGAATTATTAAGTTATACTACCTCCGGTATTTAATATAAGACCCCTTTTGACTTTTAGTTTGGTCCTAATTATAAGAGCCCAATCCATTTTATCTCTCATATTTATGTATTTTTTCCAAGATAGTCGTTCTAATAATGATAATTCTAGCCAATACACTTAATTAGCAAGGATATTTTAGGAATGACAACACTTATTTACTCCTCTGATCCTTAATATAGGACCCAATTGTTGAGTTGGTTTTGGTCCTAAATATAAGACCAATTTCTCATATTTATCAATTTTCTCTAAATTACCCATATGGATACTCCCTCAACCATAATCAAATAGAAGAGGGAGATGGGGTATTAAGAAAAATGATTATGGTCTTTTAGGAAAAATGTGTCACTTTTCTTATAATTAACCAACTTACCTAACTTCCTTAATCTAATCAAATTAGTTAAATAGGTCTTATATTAAGGACCGGAGGAGTATTACAAATGACTAACTTAATTTACTTCCTTAATTTCCTCAAATTCGTCAATTAGGTCTTATAATTAGGACTGAAAGTAGTACATTCATATAAAAAAAATTTAGTGCCCTATAAATAGGACAAAAAAATATCTTTTTTCTTTGTTTTATAAATTGAAGACTACAAAAAATAATCTTAGGGAGAGTAAGGAATCTCTCCTGCTTCCCACGGAAGTTTGAAGAATATAAACATACATTATACTCAATTCATTGACATGCTCTTTCAGTTTTTAATGTATAACTTAATTGTTGACTTGATATCAATATTAAATATAAGAGTTATTTTTTGTATTTATTAATTTTTTTAAATTATTCCTATTGATACAAAAAAGAAAGATATTAAGAAAAATGATTATTATATTTAAAAAAACATATGATGTTTCTTATAATTAATTAACTTATTTAATTTTTTTTAATCTATTTAAATTAATTAAATAGATTTTACATTAAGAACTGAATTAGTAGAATAAAGGAAAATTTTCAAAACAATTAAAAGAGACATTAAGCCTACTCTCTCCCAGTTTTCTATGTGCAACTATGTGACTAATCATGCAATTTATTATCACCTCGTACGTCATGTTCCCTCTCACCCTATTTTATAAGTTTTAAATTTAGAAAAGGACGTGGTCTATTTTTTTAAATTTTAATTTGATTTTGTCTTAATATTTAATACTCCTCCTGTCCTTATTATAAGACCCAATTTGACTTTTTATTTAGTCCTAATTATAAGACCCAATCCATTTTGTTTCTTATATTTATGCATTTTTTTCCAAGATAATCCTTCTAATAATGATAGTTTTAGCCAATATACTTAATTAGCAAGGATATTTTAGGAATGACAACACTTATTTATTATAAATAACCAACTTAACTTACTTCCTTAATTTCCTCAAATAAGTCAATTGGGTCTTATAATTAGGACCGGAGGAGTATGTTTTTTTTATTTTGTCTTTAATTAGTTATTCTGTTTCATTTACCATACTTTCTTCTATTATATTTCTTAACACATTCTCTTTCATTTTTTTTCTTATTTATTAAAAGCAGCATATTTAAAAACAAATTTATATTTCTGATATACTTATTACTACCTCTGGTCTTAATTATAAAAGCTAATTGACTAATTTGAGGAGATTGAGGAAAGGAGTTAAGTTAGTTATTTTTCATAAATAGATGTTATCTTTCTTAAAATATATTTACTAATAAAGTGTATTGGCTAGAAATACCATTGTTAGAAGGACTATCTTAAAAAAATGTATAAATATTAGAGCCAAAGGGATTGGAATCTTATATTTAAGATCAAAATAAAAGTCAAACAAGGTCCTATATTAAGGACCGGAGGTAGTATTTTTAACTAACAATTTATTATTTATAAATTAACTATTTGAAGTTTACAATAAGAATCAAAAGAGCATTTGATTTGACTCCACAATGCGTTAAAAATTTTGCAGGGTCGCCACTCACTGGCAGGCATTAACAAATTATGTAGTCCTCGTTTAGAAAACAACAGGACAAAACCGTGATCCACGTAATTCGAAAACTTCTCTCTATTTCATAAATTATAGTTGAAAATCTGCTTCTTCTTCTTTTTTTTCCTCTAAAATATAGGTATCTTTTTATTAGAAATAATCCTATTTGAAGTACTATCAGATACGTCTAGAAAATTTGCTTTTGAAGTATCTTACTATTATTTCAAACGAACACTCAAAACATTTGGGCCGAATCACGACAATAGCAAAACAATTGAGGTTGTAGTAAGTCCAGACGAAAGTCATTTCGATACTATCAACTTACTAATTATCACTCCCCTTATCCGATTTATAAAGTATTTTTAGTATATTTCATACAAATAAAAAAAATCTTAAAATGTATTAACTCTCCATTAAACTATAATAATTTTTCAACTTTACCCATATTTAATATATACACATTTCAAAAGAGATAATCACTTACACCATAGTAAATAAAGGATAAAATAGTACATTTACACTAAAAATTTAATGAAGTGAATTATAAATAGGACAAAAAAACTTTTCTCACCGCTTTATAAATATGACCAAAGAAATATTTGTTATGTATTGCTAAGCCTTCTTAGGACCTCTTTAGAACAGTTTATAAGTAACTTTTTAATCATGATTTGTGGAATACAAAACAAATGTGTGAGAAGTTTTATCTCAGCTCACGTGAAAGGTGCTTATAAGTAATTTATCGTTATTTCAAACAGGCCTTTAGTTTAATTCAACACCCTTTTTAAGACCCGTTTGGAACAATTTATAAGTAGTTTTTTAATCGTGATTTACGAAATATAAAACAAGCATGTGAGAGAAATCTTATCTTAGTTTACATAAAACATACTTATAAATAATTTTTACTGTTACTCCAATCAGACTCTTAGTTTAATTCAACCCCCCCCCCCCCCCAAAAAATAACTGTTTACGGTCGCCGTGCATCTATGGGTCTCCTAGGAGGGCAAAAGGTCCAACATCTATAGCTCCATGGAACTTCATGGAATTCCATCGCTCCACAGAAGAAAGCCATCTTCGCCTGATGCTGGTGCTCATTTGCTCTTTCGTAATATTTAATAAGCATATGATTTTGCACCATTGATTTCAATCCCGTTTACAGTTTCACATTCTCATATCAATTCGAACACCAATTTCACTGTCGTCGCTACCCTCCTGCCGTGGCTGACCCCGCAACAAAAACGAGGAAATGCTTGGCTTAAAGGAAAAACAGCAGGCAGGAATAGCATCACAGTTATAGTAATGCTTAAGATTAGTGGTTTGGCGTGCTCTCGTATAATTTTACATTTTGCATATCCAGTTTCACCTTGGTCTAAACATAAATGTCACTAAAGTACTATACCCAAATATTGCAACGCAAAAACAAGCATGCACGCACTCACCCGTACGGTTACAAGTCTTCAGAAGCGACTTTAGTGCTAGTAAAACCAGAGATCTCCAATAAGAAACACCAAAAATGAGCCATAAAACTGAAACTGCGTAGAAAGACAAGTTTCCCTACAGGCAGATTAGAGTATTTAGGACGTCACAATGGATGTTATCCATTCGACAACAGATAAGTAGACGGTTAAAATTTTCAAAATCCATCATCAAACACTACATTTGCTTTCAGTTCGAATCTTTATCGTCTTTGATTCTACATTTGGCCAAATCGACTCATTACTGCTGGGCGCACTGTACCCTCTGAGCACCGCCATGCATATCCTCATCCTCCTCATATGCTTCCTGCTGAGCTTGTTGCCTCCTCCTCATCTCCTCCTCCATGTTAACATCATGAAGTGTCGTCTCCTCGCACTCATCCAGCTCCATGTCTGTCAGCTGTGATGAAGGCCGTGGAGGCAGTACAGCTTCCAACGCCTTAACTTGGTCGGGACTAAGAGAGTCAGGGAATTCAACCGTAAAGTGAATATAAAGCTTTCCTCTCATGAATGGCCTCTGGTACATCGGCATTCCCTCGTCATTGATAGCCTTATAAGAATCTGCATTATCAAGCATACAGAAAAACCACTTTAGTCTCTAGGCAAAATTAGCAGTGGCTAAGCCAATGTGAATCAGATACATACCCGGCTTGACAACTTCACCAGGGTTGGATTTAATAAGGAGCTGCCTTCCATCCAAGTGAGCGAGCACAAACTGAAAGCCACATAAAGCCTCAGTGAGGGATAAAGTGTGCTCTACGAAAAGGTCTTCACCCTTTCTTTTGAACTTGGGATGCTCCTTCTGCTGTAGGACAAAGACTATATCCCCAGTAATTGTATCTGGCTGCACACCCAACAAAACATAAAGCAACGATATTAGCTTTACTCGTGTTCTCCATTAAACTCTTTGTAAGACACATAAGTCCTCAGCTTACCGCTTCATCTGCTTCACCAGGGAATGTAATCTTCTGTCCATTCTGCATCCCCTTCTCCACAATAACTTCAAGTACTTTCTTCTCTTGGACAACCTTCTCTCCCTTGCATTGTGGGCAGCGATCTCTATCATTTATAGTTTCTCCAGTACCCTTGCATTCATTGCAAGGGTGCTGCATTTGCTGAATCATAGAGGGACCGAGGTGCCTAATAGAAACCTTCATACCAGTTCCTTGACAACCAGCACACTTCATGGAGGCCCCTGATTTTGACCCCTTACTGTAGTCAATTATTAACAATCAACGATTATGTCAGATTTTATGCCGTAAACAAAGTGAACAAGCATGCAGACATTAAGACAAAAGCAAGCCACGACACCCACCCACTGCACTTTGAGCATATCACATTTCGCGAGAGGGAGAGCTTCTTGGATGTTCCAAGGTATAGGTCCTCTAGAGAGACCTTCAGAGGGTGAACCACATCTTCTCCCCGTCTCTGCCTCCGTCCTCTACTGCTACCACCTATTCACGCAAATGACACAATCCGGTTCAAGTATTTCCCTTACGAGGCGAGATAAAGAATCATAAGTATGCCTCTGTCAAAAGGGATCCTTTTTATAAAACCGTACCTCCAAAAGGACTGCCACCAAAGAAAGACTGGAAGATGTCAAATGGGTCGTGGCCGCCGCCTCCACCGCCCATTCCTTCCTTAAGAGCATCTTCCCCGTATTGATCATATATCTCACGTTTTTCAGGATCGCTCAGCACTTCATAGGCTTGGGCCAGCTCTTTAAACTACAGGAAAATAAACATATCAGGCTTCAATTCATCGGCTTACACAAAATTACAACCATAACAGGCTGATACTACCTGTTCCATATAAAATAATAACAAGGTAAACAAATCAACAAAGATATTCCATTAAAACAACGACTCGGCGCGCATAAAATGCACCCACAAATGGATCTTAATCCACTGATTAATTAAACTCCATTCCCAAAGCTAACTTTGGATCAAGGTTTTTCGCAGATTATTAAAAACAAGAGAACCCAACCGACCGAAATCAATCCATACAATCCCTCCCTACTTTCTCTCCCCCAAATCTTCTTAGATTTCGAATAGCTGTACAATTTACATATACCTGGAAACCCAGCTTAGTAAGACATCAGAAGCGCTTAATTTCTGCTAAAAAGAGAATTGTAACAATACCGCTGATACAATAGCCCACAGCACAGCCATCCAGTAGGAGAGATGAACTATAAAGCCAACTCAATTTAAATGAGAAATATTCTAACTGCACTAACCAATATTTATATTGTAAGAACAACCACAAATCCGGCTAGAAGAACAAAAAAGTTTACCTTCTCCGGATCACCGCCCTTGTCGGGATGATTTTTGATAGCTGCCTTCTTGTAAGCCTTCTTCAGATCATCCTGGGAAGCGTTCTTCGAAACTCCCAGGATTTCATAGTACTTCGTGTTGTCGCTTTTCTTCGGTGCCCTCCCAAACATCTTTGCTTCTACCTTTCTACTCGCCGACTAAAGAAACAAATTAAACCAATTGATCGAAGAAAATCCCCGAACGGAAACCACTAAATAACCCACGCAGTGAGGCCCAAGCGAAGAAGACTCTAGATCTGATGCCGCAGGCGAGAGAACTTTTCCGTAGAAGAAGCACAAGGACGAAGAAATTCTCAGCCTCGCATATATACGATGACACGAGATTAATTTCACTTAAAAATAGGGTTTAATAAACGGCTCAGATTGCCCTTGTGAATGGAGTGGGACCGAAGAAGGGTCTAGAATTTTATAAGCCTCCCAGCAATTTCCTTTGATAAATGTAGACCGTTGGATGTGACGCTCATCGATCAACGATTTCGTTCTAGATGCTTCTTGGCAAGCTCTGGGAAAGACCGCGAGCGTTTCCCCTTGTGTTTGTGATTTAATTTCTTTTTTATTTAGGCCATCCAGAGTTGACCAAATTAATTGTTATTGACCCCAAAAATTTTTTTTGATTATTACGGCCCATTGTTGTGACTGACAAAAGTGAATAACCCATGTAGCAAAAAAAATAACGACTTTGATTGGTAGAAACCAACATTGACCTTGACCAACTTAATTGCCATTGACCGCAAAAATATGTTTAGAACTTTAAATTTTATTTGATACTGCGCTTTCGTCTCTTATTTTCACCTTTTAAAGAAAGCGAAGAACTGATATTTAAAAACTCGAAATCAGTTTGTAAAAAAAAAAAAAAAGATCGAAATCATTGCTTCCTCTGTTATACTAACTTTGATCTTTAATTAAAAAAACCAATTGACTGATATAGATATATTAAAAAATTAATTAAGTTAGTTATTTGAAATAAATAAGTATTTTTTAAAATATTCTTATTTAGCATGTGTATTAGTTATAATTACCATTTAATGAAACCTTTAACACATGTAACTATTATAAAAATTCTACTTTAAAAAAATAGATAAATATGAAAAATAGAGTGAATTAAAATCTTATATTTATAACCAAATTAAAATATAAAAATAGCTCTTGTATTGAAAATGGAGGGCAGTATATTATTATTGGATTAATTACTACCATGTCTAGGAGCACATATTATTTTAATGTAGCCTTCAAAGTAGCTTATTTATGGAAATCTCAAGATTTCCTCGATTTAGTTTTACTTTGTTGCTTATCATTGTCTATTATCTCTGCATGATAGATAGGAGGATATCTGTTATAGAGCAGAGATTCCGGTTATATTTAGAGATTGTCATTTTAAATTATGATTAGGGTTATATTTTTCTTTTTTGTCTTCATTATTTGAGCATAACTTCCCAAAAATTTTCCCTATTCTTTGAAGCACTTCAATAAAGTTAGAAAAAATCACAATGAGGTCCTGTGTAAGGAAAAAAATTTCAAAACAAATTTCAGAAGTTGTTATTTTCCACTCTAAAAATTGTCATTACAGACTGCTCAGATTATTATTGAATCTTTTAATAATTATTTCTCTTATATAAAACTTGATTGTAATTTTCTTATAAAGTTACTAGCACCAGTGCCATGTCTTTTCTATTTCACACGGAAAATTTTCTCATTTACAAGTATTGCTATATTACAATCTCAATAGAGCTTTAGTGAAGATACGTGTGAAGCTGCGTACACTCCAACGTGTGTGGTTGTCATTTGATTTGAAAAGAGCTGGAGTCCGCGCAAAGCAAGGCCATGTTTAAAATAGCATTTAAAAATATTTACAAATATATTTTATATAAGTTAAAATAAAACTCTTTCCACCTATTTATTTCACATTTCATAAATCATTATTGAAAAATTACTAAGCTATTCTAAACTGTTTTAAGATGTTTTTTTTCTTTTGTCAAAAAAGGTGTTTTGACATAGTACTGTCATTTTTTTGCGGAGGGGTGTAGGGGGAGAGCATTTCCTAATACTTCTTCGATTCTAAATATAAGATCTCTTTTGGAGGTCTTATATTTAGGACCGGATGAATTATATAGGTTTGATTTTTAATTAATTTTAAGAATTAAAAAACGAGGGAAGTAATGATGAGCGAGCGCGCATGATATACAATTGAACCGAGTTAGGGGGTAATTGGACTTTATATAATCTACATGTCTATGGGACACCGTTCCTTTTCTACTTTTGATGGAATGCTTCTCAAATATACTCCTGTGAAACTGGAGAAGTTTCTTTAGTGCCTTTCTTCCTCTTCACTTCCATACAGTTCACCTAAACCAAATGTGCTGTGCAAGTGAGCATCGGTTCCTCGAGCTATATGGGTATGTCTTGACGACATGGGTGGATTTGTGGATTGGAGGTGTGAATCAACTTACGGGGGCCTAATTCAAAACGAAGGTGACAACCGGATTAAAGGATTTACCAACAAAATTTGAATACCGTTTGGATGCACCATAGTCCGTGGCTTTTGAGATCTTTGATTCAGAAAGGCCAACACGTGCAACACTCCATCAAGCCTCAACTCCAGGTACCAATAAACAAATACTACTCCAATTATTAACATAAAAGCTAGTTTGATATTTGAATTGATTTTAAATATAAGACTCCAATTAATTTTATCTTTCGTATTTATTTATTTATTTTTAAAGTAATCATTGTACCAATTGCACATGTTGAATATTTTATCAAATAATAATTCTAGTCAATACACATTATTAGTAAAAGTATTTTATGAAGGACAATATTTATTTATAACAAATAAACGATTTAACTAATTTTTCTAATCCACTAAAATTAAATGAAAAATTACATGTAGTATTTACCACAAACTTATTGCCCTTTGTAATTTTTCCACCCACGCATATCATTATAGCGAGCCCTTTGTTATGATCGTTTCTGTTATTTAGAAGTCATTTTGCTGCTCTTGCCTCGAATATATAATGAGCCTTGTGCCGCCGTTGTGCGCGCGCTTGCTGCCAAGCCACAAAGCCCCTGAAAGCAACATCAAAACCCGCCAACTGCATCAAATTTCTCGAGACATGAGATGAGATTGTTGACAGATGGGATCATTTCAAAAACTTATCCTTTATTTAAAGTTAAAGTGCGCTTCTATGCGTATCATCATTCATCAAAATTCGAAACCTGAACAACGATAAGAATGAAATACATTTCAGGCCAAATACAGGCATTATCATTGGATCCAATTTTTTTTAGTAACCAAAAAGTTCACTTGAGTCGGTTTCGGGAGCTCATCAGAACTATAATATATTTTCAGGCTCAAAATATTTATAGAAGTACTTACAAGATATTTAATCGGTAGTGGAATTTGAATTTATAACTTTATAAGTTATGAGTCGATTACTTAACAACTAAATCAATTCTTATTGGCATCGGACCCCATTTTGCTCCGCCCCTGTCTTGGAATCTAGCCAACCAATTCCCTTTCTTGCAGACGCCCAGAATCAGAATCTCCCGTACTCGAAGGCTTCGTTGCCTCTCAACAGGAGGGGCAAAAAGCAACGTGAACCTGTGCTTGTTCGGTCACTCCTCAAAATCGATTTAAAAAAGTTTTTTTTAATGTTTTTATAAAATAAAATCCTACTCGCGTATTTATTTATTCTGCACAGCTTAAGATTAGATTCTGACATCTAACTTCGCAGAGAATCAGATTGGATTTTGTAAGTGCACTTGTGGAGGAACAATATCAGCTTCAGCTGAAAAGCATATTAACTCGACAACAGGGTCCTTCATATTAAATTTAAGGCCGGCGTTCTTGTTTATGTTTTGTAACAACCATGCTCTACTTTAAATTTTTAGGGGGAATTACAATCATGTCTAAGGAAGGATTTAATTACCCTCAAATCTATTGATAAGTGAAGAGTAAATAATGATAAGATCCAGAGTAGAAAATGATAATAGGTTTAGGCTGCCTACTTGTTATTGAGATTTTTTGGTAATTAAATTTTTTTTAGGACCTTTTGCTAATTCTCCCTAAATTTTATATTTTGCACCTCTGGTTCTTAATACTATAAGAGTTACCTTGACATTTAATTTGATCATAAATACAAGATTCTAATCAATTCCATCTCTTATATTTATCTTTTTTCAAAATATTCATTATAATAATTATACATGTTAAATGTTATATCAAATGATAGTTTTAACCAATACATATGATTAGCAAAAGTATGAAACACAACACATAATTATTACAGATAACTAATTTAATAAAATTAATTTATTCAAATTAGTCAACTAGTTCTTATATTAAAAAACTGGTAATATTGGATATAATGATATGAAATTGATATATGATTTAAATTTAAAATACACAACAAGTACTATGGTATAAATAATAGGATACGATTAATTAGCAAGCCGCACGCACAACACATGAAATGAAATGAATCCCATTTAACGTTTAATAGGAAAGAGAAATGCTGCCGTCAAATGAGACTAATTTTTCTAAAGCGGATTGTTGATGATTTGATTGAATGATGATTTCTTTATTGAAAGCCCGATTATTATAATTTTTAAAAAACCAAAGTTGTAAGCTTTTTCCCCCCTCATTTTATTCGTTGTTGTTTTTTTTAATTTTTCACTTTATCAACCTTTTCAAAAGAGAGATTGACAAATTCAAGCATCTTCCCCCGCAACGCAAGACCGTATTATCATTATTATTCTTGTCTAAAAGTATTAAATTGGATTTTTTTTATTTTCCCCCCTTGAGACCCCCGCCCGGTGACGGGATATTAGCATTAGAATGGACCGTCAAAAACATGCACCATCCACCTTCCTAAAAGGAACAAAGCTGATGTGGGTTCGTTAGCGAGGTGGGGTAAACACGTCCGTGATTGACTCTTATGGCTCTCTCTTCTGACAACGACACGTCGTCGCCAATCACCGCACGACGCCGTTTTCTCGTGCTCCCGCACCCTCCCGGCGCACGTTAGACAACACCGGTCCTGCCCCTTTGCCGGCCTTCGCATTGTTCGCGGGACTTTGGGAAGGAAAAAAAAAAAAAAAAAAAAGGCCTCCGGAGGGAGACTGAGATAGATAGATAGAACTCTCTCTCCAGCTCACTTCACTTGTAAATCGTCTCAAAAGCTGTGAGAAGAAGCCATTTTACTGCTTTGACTGATTGATGGATCAACGCTTCAAAAGGTATTCGCACTTTTCTCCTCACTGATGCTTAAGCTCAGTCTCACTTCATATGAATCTTAGGTGAATTGAGCTTCAGCTATTTGATCCCTTGATCTGCACTGGTTCATTGGCTTGTGCAGTGTTTGAGATTGTCCTGCTTGGCCATTCTTTTCCCCGATGTTGAACTTATCTGTCAGCCATTTCCAAAACTTGGAATTATCGGCTCCGATGTTCTTCATATTGTATAGCTGTCACATCTACTAGGTCTTTATAACAAACAGCGAGTCAGTCATCTACGAACAACCGGGTCAAGTGTATATTGCTTAGCATAACTAACTACAACTAACAAGGAGAGTTGTAGTAAACTCCAGCTACCTCTTCTGCTATTTTACTTCTCGCAATTTTAATCGTTGTGGATCTATCATTATATTTTCTGCTTTGTTAATGTATACGGTTACTTGTACATGGATTGAGAAGAAAGTTTGCCTTGTCATTTTGCCTTATGCGGGTCCGTGCAAGTTTTTTTCGGATTTTCAGACTGCTATATGGTTCGTGGACAGCGCGTTGCTTTTATGTTTTCTCTCCTGGGATTTGCATTTTTGGTTACTTTCCTGTGCAGATCAGTCTTGTGTTTTTATTGCATCTTAATCCTCATTTATTTGCATAGCACGGTTCTATCGTCTTAATGTAGGATTTGGTATATTTAGCAATTAATGAGTTAAGGATTGGTCTTGGCTCCCCTGGATATTTTTTCTCAGAATGACTGCTCAAAAACTTAAGTCATATAGTTTTTTTGATTAGTACGTTGATATCTAAAGGCAGTTGTAAAAGGAATTATGAATGCAGTTGGTGCTCGGACGTTGTGATGATTAGTGAACTCAAATTAGTATTGGACTGTTATGGTAATCTGTATTGCTGCTTGATTCCTTTTTCTTCTTTAGTCCTCCTGTGTTCGTTGTTCTTTCACACGAATAATTTTTTTTCTTGGTCTTATTGAATCAGGCCAATTGGCCTCCTTCAAACTGTTTGATTGAAGATTCTAAATTGACTGCCTGAGCATCTTGCTTTCGAATTTTATTACCTGTTCAATTCAATAAAATACATGTCTTGATGTGTTTTTGAAGGAAATTTTCATTATCTCAAGACCACATTATAAAGGGATTTCGTGCTTTTACCTCCCCCCTTTAATGCTCAAAGTCTTTGTGATTGAATTTTTATTACTTGTTTCATTTAGTTCCTTCCATGTGACATACATGTCTCTGAAAAAATTTGCTTTATCTCAAGATTAGTATCCTGGCATCCTGTGTTCTGTTTGCATCTTATGGCTGATCTTCTACAGCACTAAATTTGGCTCTGAGATGTTGGCACCATTTCTCACGGACCATCCTTCTTTTTACTACAAACGTTCTTTGTTTTTTTGTGCAATGTCCTGATCAAACAACTAACCGGAATGATAGAAAGTTGACTCTCATATAATCTGCTGCAATTATTTCACCAATTTTTACCCTGTAGTGAATGTTTATGCTGCTCATAATTCATCCCACTTTTAAAACAAGATCAGCAAACGAATATTTATGAAATAACCTGAGAAATCAAATCATTCTTATTATTATTGAATTGTAGTTTATTTAGGTCCCTTCCCTTAGACCTGGTACTTTCACCAAAATTGAATTGGTTTTAGATAGTTTTCAGTTTTCACTAGTTGACCTTTTGCTTTCTGAATCCTCTTATGAGCCATTGGCCATAGTTCAATGGAGTTCAACTTACGGCTGGTTAATGATATCTAGAATAATCACTACTTCTGCATTGATTTTGCCAGGAAATTCCCTTGCTAAGTTTGTGCCTGGTTGAGAAACAGTGAATGATACTATGGGCGTCTCAGGGAAGTGGATTAAAGCTTTGGTTGGTCTAAAGAAATCTGAAAAGGCAGAGTCTTCAGATAAGGATGTAAATGTGAGTATAACTTTCTGTTTATCTTTAGCCTCTTTTCATCGTTTTAGCAACTTTTTTTTTTTTTCCCCCCAAGTTTCATTTTTATTTTTTTCATTCCCTCTTGCAAACATGGCTGTCACATATGTTGCTTTTCGCTGAGGTTAGAATCAAGCCATCTCTGTTAGTATTCCCTATCCCAATCCTGGCAGAAAAGAAACTACTTTTGTGAATTGTTTCCTGTTTTGCCAAGTGTGCACTACATTTTTCTAATTTCACCCTTGATTTTTTGCTAAGTGGGTCTTGCTAAGGACAAGGTTTAGTTTATGTGTATATATAGAAATTTTTTGAAATAACATTCTTGGCCAGATAGAACATTCATATTGATTTTTTTTCCATTATATGTTCCTTTGCCTATTACTCCTTCGGTCCTTAATTTAAGACCTAATTGAGAAATTGATATTGGTCGTATATGTAAGACCTATTTCATATGTTTATTAATTTTTTCCTAAATTAACCTTATTAATATTTCCCCAACAATAATCAAGTAGGAAACGGAGGGAGGGAATTAAGGAAGATGCTGAGGGTGTTTTAGAAAAAACATATCATATTAATTAATTTAACAAACATCATTAATCTACTCAAGTTCGTTAATTATGTCTTATATTAAGAACCGAAGGAGTATGTCTTGTGGAAATCCTCCATGATTTTAGGAGATACCGAATCAGGCTTAATACCCAGATTCGGTATTATAGGATTTTTCAATGTAAATATTTCATTTTGATCTGATTGTTTATTCCCCGATCTGCTCCCTCAAATCTCGGCCTATTATTAATCGGCCAAACCCTCTCTCTTGTTGTATAAATCTCAGCCTCAATATGTGAATAATATAGTTGAATCGGATTATCCCATTGTTCTTCATGGTATCAGAGCAACCGAAGAACACACCGTCCGCTTCATCCGATTCTTCTTCCTCTAATACAGAGTTGAACCTTCGTTCAGACCCATCGCGTTCAATGTCGTCTGGACTTGAGGGTTCCTCAAATTCGAATGGGTCTTCACGACTTGCCTCAACGAGTCTGGAGACTTCGTCCGTGATGATCATCCCCGAGAAGCTCACCGGCGACAATTACAGAGAGTGGGCCCAGTCCATAACTCTGGCTCTCGACGGCCGAAGCAAACTCGGCTACATCACCGGTGACAAGAAGGCACCACCATCGACGGACACAAAGGAATTTCAGCTATGGAAGTCCGAAAACTCAATGGTCTCCTCATGGTTGGTGAACACAATGACACCATCGATCAAAAAGAGCTTCATGTTTCTTCCCTCCGCACGTGATATATGGGAAGCTGTACGTGAGTCCTATGGAGAAACAGGAAACATCTCACAAATCTTTGACATTAAGTCTCGGCTCTGGCAGGTAAAACAGAATGACAAATCTTTAAATGATTACTATCTCGAAAAAACCTCGCTTTGGCAGGAATTAGACTCCCTCACAAGCAAAGTACACCATTGTCATGCGGATGCTGCGACAGACCATAAAGAAAAAGAAACAGAACGGCTATTTGAGCTTCTTGTGGGGCTTAACTCAACCTATGATGATATCCGGGCCCGTATCTTTAGTCAAGAACCTTTACCATCAGTCCGTGTAGCCTTTGCTATGCTACGGAAGGAAGAGTCTAGGCGCAGAACAATGTTACGAGAGGAGTCTGTCCCTCGGATTGATGTCCCTGAACTCTCTGCTCTTGCTGTTCGCTCAACAGAGCCACGCAACAATAGAGGTCGTCCTATGTGTGACCATTGCAAGAAACAGGGCCATACAAAGGATACCTGCTGGGATCTTCATGGTAAGCCTCCTGATTGGAAGCCAAAGAAAGGCCGAGGCCGTGGTTACGTTGCTGAAAAGAATGAAGGTGCAACCACATCACAGAGTTCTGCTTCTCAAAGTGATCCGTTAAACAAAATCCTTGAGATGCTCACTACACTTCAAAATACCCAGCAGCCCCGAAAACAACCAGTTGCTACAGTTGTCAAACGCGGTAATTTCCTAACGGCCCTTACCACTATTAAGAATAAATGCACAGGAAATTGTTGGATTATTGACTCCGGTGCATCTGATCATATGACTGATGACAGAACATTATTCTCATCCTATGAGCCTACTACTAAGCGACTTACAGTTAAAATTGCTGATGACTCTGATTCTGTTGTGGCTGGCATTGGTACCATTAGAATTTCCGCTGCACTTACTCTTCATTATGTTTTGCATGTACCAAACCTTAAATGCAATCTCCTATCTGTGAGCCAATTGGCTAGAGAAGAACGATGCCATGTTAACTTCTTTGCCACTTACTGTTTATTTCAGGATCTGCTGACGGGGACGACGATTGGCAGTGCGAATGAGTTTGATGGTCTCTATTACCTAGATGAAAGTGAAATAAGACGTGTTCCATCTTGTAATAAAGTGTCTCTCCCTAGGACTAGTGAGTTGGAGTTATGGCACAAACGGTTAGGTCATCCGAATTTCAATTATATGTCTCAAATGTTTCCTTCCATTTGCTCTAATAAAAATTCTTCTGAGTTTTATTGCGATTCATGTGAGAGAGCTAAACATCATAGAACTACTTTCCCTCGTCTCCCGTATCAAGAATCCAAACCTTTTACCACTATTCACAGCGACTTATGGGGTCCATCACGTACTCCAAATCGAACAAAATCAAAATGGTTTATCACTTTTATCGATGATCACACACGAGTGAGCTGGGTCTACTTAATGAGAGAGAAAACTGAGGTCCCACAAATTTTTATCAATTTTTATAACATGATTCAAACCCAGTTTCAAACAAAAATCCACATCCTTCATACTGATAATGGCACAGAATATTTCAACCGCACACTCTCTGCCTTCCTCACCTCTCATGGCATTATCCACAAAAGCACGTGTCCCAATAGCCCTCAACAAAACGGTATTGCTGAGAGAAAAAATCGCCACATCCTTGAAACTGCCAGGGCAATTATGTTCAGTAGTCACGTTCCCAAATACTTTTGGGATGATGCCATCCTCACTTCTACCTTCCTGATAAATCATATGCCTAGTAAGCCACTGTCATACAAAACTCCTAGTCAGGTCCTTCACCAACACTACAACCTTCCCTACCTTGAAAACACTCTTCCCCTCAAAGTTTTTGGGTGCACTTCCTACGTTCACCTCCATCACACTAATAAACTTGATCCCAAAGCCATTCGGTGTATTTTTCTTGGGTATTCTTCCTCTCAAAAGGGGTATAAATGCTATGATCCTGTCTCCAAACGTCTCTTTGTTACCTGTGACGTCACGTTTCATGAGAATGAACCCTATTACACACCGTCTACGATTCAGGGGGAGAGTGAGAATGAATCTCAGACTTGTGAAACAGCGGTACCTACACTGACGAATGACCTATTTGTTGAATTTGATCCTGAACCTAACCTTGACCACATAGATGATAAGGGAAAGCCTAATTCGGGGGGAGACACAAACCAACAAGTTAAGACCTATACACGAAAACCAAGAATAGGTAATGAACCACAGGCTCCTAGTATTTGTCAAAAGTCAGATCTGCCAACAGGTCCAGAAAGGGAACATGCTATACAAAATGGTCCCAACCAGACTATGGAAGACCTTGATCTTCCAATTGCAGTAAGGAAAAGGCCCCGTACTCGACACCCTATAGAAAAGTTTGTCTCATATAAGGCTCTCTCTTCAAAATATCATGCCTTTGTATCTCATCTTGACAGTGTTAGGGTACCAAACAATATTGATGAAGCCATGGCCTCACCTGAGTGGAGACAAGCAGTTATAGATGAGATGGAAGCACTGAAACGAAATGGTACATGGGAAGTGGTAGATCTTCCTAAAGGAAAAAAACCAGTTGGGTGCAAGTGGGTGTTTACTCCAAAATATAACGCAGATGGGAGCCTAGATAAGTACAAGGCGAGGTTAGTTGCAAAGGGTTTTTCACAGGTCTATGGGATGGACTATACAGAGACGTTTGCTCCTGTTGCAAAACTTAACACAGTCAGGATCCTATTATCGTTGGCTGCTAATTTAGATTGGCCTCTGCACCAATTAGACGTGAAGAATGCCTTTCTCAATGGAGAACTCAGGGAAGAGGTGTACATGAAATTGCCACCAGGGTTCCCAGAAAAAAGTTCTACCCAAGTTTGCAAATTAAAGAGGTCATTGTACGGGTTAAAGCAATCCCCACGAGCTTGGTTTGAGAGATTCACACGAGTCCTCAAGAAACAAGGCTACAATCAAGGGCAGAGTGATCATACAATGTTCTTCAAACATCAAAGAGATAAGACAACTGTTTTAGCAGTCTATGTTGATGACATAGTCCTCACAGGGGATGATGACACAGAAATAGAACATATCAAGGCAGCCTTGGCTCAGGAATTTCAAGTCAAAGACCTTGGAGAAATGAAGTACTTTCTTGGTATGGAAGTGGCTCGTTCAAAAAGAGGGATTTATATCTCGCAAAGAAAATATATCCTGGATCTCCTGAAAGAGACAGGAATGTTGGGATGCAGACCAAGTGATACTCCTATACGAACTGATAAGATCAGTGATGAAGAGGACCTGGGTAAGACTGTAGATGCAGGGAGATATCAACGGATGGTGGGAAAACTCATATATCTTTCTCACACTCGACCTGACATTGCATTTGCAGTCAGTGTGGTCAGTCAACATTCTCATGATCCCAAGCAGAAACATCTCAATGAAGTTTACAGAATTCTTCGATACCTAAAGGGTTCTCCAGGTCGTGGACTGCTATTCAAAAAATCTGACAGACAGGATATTGAAATTTTTACTGATGCAGACTGGGCTGGAGATCAAGAAGACAGGAAATCTACATCAGGGTACTGCACATATGTTTGGGGTAATCTTGTCACTTGGAGGAGCAAGAAACAGAGTGTAGTTGCCAGAAGCAGTGCAGAAGCAGAATTTAGAGCAGTTGCTCTTGGTATTTGTGAGGGAATATGGCTAAAAAGGGTTCTTGAAGAACTGAAGAAAAATCTAAATCTGCCTATCAAACTTTATTCGGACAACATGGCAGCCATCAATATCTCACACAACCCAGTCCAACACGATCGGACTAAGCATGTGGAGATAGACCGACACTTCATCAGAGAAAAGATAGATGATGGCATCATTTGCCTGAAGTATGTGCCCTCAAAAGAGCAAACTGCAGATGTTCTCACAAAGGGACTAGCAAGAGACAAGTTTGAGCATTTCGTCAACAAGCTGGACATGATAGACATCTATGGTCCATCTTGAGGGGGAGTGTGGAAATCCTCCATGATTTTAGGAGATACCGAATCAGGCTTAATACCCAGATTCGGTATTATAGGATTTTTCAATGTAAATATTTCATTTTGATCTGATTGTTTATTCCCCGATCTGCTCCCTCAAATCTCGGCCTATTATTAATCGGCCAAACCCTCTCTCTTGTTGTATAAATCTCAGCCTCAATATGTGAATAATATAGTTGAATCGGATTATCCCATTGTTCCTTAAACCGATGGAGAAAGAATGTTCCTTAAATATAAATGCAATTACTTTTTCATTCAGATCTTTCAATTGATTGAAGTCCCATGCACAAAGAGATTTAGAACCAGTATAAAGACCTGAGTCTTTAGTCTATGTATCCTACGTTAATAAGATAATACATTATCTTCATGATGTAGTTTTGCAGGGCATCCCTGTACTCCTTTGTCATGATGCTCCAGTTCTTATTGTTCTTTACTAGTTTGCTCTATCCCCTATTTTCCCTTTTTTCATACTATCTATGAAGCTGTAGCATGGAAATCAGATATACATGTGTAGTAGGTCCTAATCCAAGATTAGTGGCTAACTTATGGGTATCCATCCCAACATACATGGCACTGATGTGTTGCCATTTTAATATTTCATTTATCCTGCTTGTAGCATTTAAATTATTACTCATAACAAACTCCAGAACTTGGAATCAAATAAAGTCCTCTCTGCTAACCTCAACACTAGGAGATAAAAGAAAAAACTGTAATGACCCAATTGTGAGGTTTGGGACTTGATTCCCATATTTGAAGCATGGATTCTAATGTGCGGTGTATACGAACTTTCAGCTCTCCGGCTTTATCTGCTGGCATTTGGGGAATGGCTGTTTAAAGTTCATATAAACATTTTTTCTATTTCATCGTTGGGTTTTGACTCAATTAGGAAGTAATAGGGACAAGTTTTAGATTATGTGTGTTTATACATGCACTATATTCATATGGGACTAAACACCTTGGCAGTTCATCTAGGATTTTCACTATTTACAGACTGGTTGTTAAAAAAGACAACCGATGCCTGGTTCTGCTCAGGAGCAAAGCCATCTTCTCTTTCACCTCTGTGAAATAGTTTAGAGAATGCTTTACAATTAAGATCAATTTGAATTGTTTCAAACTTTCTCAGTCTTCATTTCATTGAGTTGTGCCTGATTTTGATGTTCTTGTATGAGGTCTTATGGTACTTCGCTTATAGAATTTCCTCCTTCTAGCTTTTGGAGAAACTGAGTATGTCAAAATTTAAAGCACTGCATGTTACACGCTGCTAAAGAGAACTTATGCTATTTTTGGTTTCCCAATGATCAGAGGACTGGAAAAATACGGCACCGAAGGAAACGATCCATTGACATGGACAATGAAAAACTCCAAAATGAGTTTAACCATGACGCTGCTCCTTTTGGGGATGCCAATATCCACTCAGTCACTGATGTCCAAGATTCACCTTCCACTTCACAACAAGTACAGGGTGCCGCATTTGGGCATCAAATTATGAGGGAGGAATGGGCAGCAACACGCATTCAAACAGCATTCCGAGGATTTTTGGTAATTGCTCCATATTGTTTCAAGCTTAATCAATTTGCACAAAAAATCATTTGTGAATTATTTTCTTCTACCTGAAAATGATTAGAGGGCGGTATTGATGCGATATTTTAACCTTTCATACAGCTATGAAGTAACTTTGCTTTTATGAGAAACCAAAGAAACACGTAGCTTGTTCACATGAGTTCTCAATAAAAGATTGCACCAATCCTGTCGTCTGGTTGAAACAGAATTATGAGAAAGATCTCCCATAGGCAATATTACCCTTGCAGTATGCCTTTCTATGCAGACACACTCTCTTATCCAATTTGATCTCCAATCATCTTTCCTGCTTCATTTTTTTGGGGTTCTTGTCTGAAAGTTTTTCCTCTATTTCATCTTGTTTAACTCTGTGCAAATAGGAACTCAGCGATTGTTTTTAATCTGATTTGATAGTCCTATCTTCTGTTCTCCTTCATGTTTTGATGCCCTTGTCTGCAAAGTTTTCCTCTATGTGGCCTTCTTTAACTGCATGCCGGTGCAAACTGAGTAATCTAATTTCTTTAGGTGATTGATACAACTAGATAGTAAACTAGGAATAGCTTTTAAATTTAAATCCATAACTAATCTCCAACAGCTATACAATATTATATTCACTGACAGTATTGTGGTTTGGCTTTAGATTACAAATTACTTTTATTATTGAAGAATCGTATACTTCAGTACCTGATTAAAGGGGCTTATTATATGGGGATGTTATGTTCTGGAGTCCATTATTGCCTTGGCGTGTTTAGAGGAGTTTTTGAATGTGTGGAGGTCCAGTGAGTATTACTACCGTACTTATTTGACCGTGCTAGAATGTTTTGTTATGCATGTCAGGCCCGAAGAGCACTACGGGCTTTGAAAGGATTGGTACGGCTTCAGGCCCTTGTAAGAGGTCATGCTGTGAGGAAACAAGCTGCCATAACTCTCCGTTGTATGCAAGCTTTGGTGAGAGTCCAGGCACGTGTTCGAGCAAGGCGTGTGCGCATAGCCTTAGAAAGTCAATCAGCACAACAGAAACTTCAGCAACAACTTGCAAATGAAGCTCGTGTTCGAGAAATAGAAGTAAGCAGTATTAGATCATTCCAACAGTAATTCTGTATATGTTGCAGGCCTTTCCTAAAATATCTTGCTTCCATTTATATGAGATAGCTTCTTTAGTAATCCACTTGCTAGGGGTTGGAAATGTTTTGAAAAAAGATTATTATTAGATTGGTGACATTGAATTGTGAGGCCTATCCTGTTTCATTAAATCACTAGGTTAGTTGATATAATGTGTTACTATGTGTTAGGCTGAGCCCATGATACAGGCTTTTAGATCTAATTTTTTGTTGAAATATTCTTTTGATTATTGTATTCTAGATTAGCTGAGTCTTCTATCCTGAATTTTTAAACTCTGAATCCTTTTCTTCACTATTGATTCATATGTTGATAATTATCAGAATCCCAGTGTTTGCTCAGGTAGGATACCTGACTGAGATTCGAGTTAACTGCAATTTGACATGTTGAACTCTCAGACACTTGCTCATTGGGAGCACTAGAAGGGAAAACTAGAAAATATTAACCTTGCAAAAGTTAGGAAATTGGCCAGAGATAAATAGTTGAGTCTGGAGAGTTTATTCTAGAAACATTTCAAAGGATGGAAATTGGGAGCTTGGGAGGAAAAGCTTAGATGTTGGAGATATAAGATGATTCTAGTGAGAGCAGAAATTAGACAGAACGAGAATGGATTTTGGACCTGGGAATCTGCTCTTCAAATTAGATACATTCAAAAACAAATATGGAAGCCCATTTTTCTGCTCTTTACTCCTATATGAACCATTGTCAGATTCACTTCCTGACTTGTTCAAAAATGCTATTTGTGGCAGTAAAGCATTCAAAGAGATTTCTTTAGTTTAATTATGGCAGGACAGTCTCTTCTTGCTCTAGCCAAATGTCTTAATGGAAAGATACAACAGCAGCAAGGGCAATCCTCATCTCACTAAGTGACGTTGGGTACATGGATCACAATATCATTAGGCTTTATCAGCTACTAATTTTTTAGATATATAATTCACCATAAAATCCCGTTTCACAACTTCTTTAAGTGCTTTATTTTCGGTCTTCCTCTACATCTTTTCATAGGTTACCAGACCATTTGCTCTACTCTTCTCACTAGCACCTCTAGCGGTTTTCTGAATGCATGTTTAAATCGCCCTGATCAATTTTCTATTTTTTCCTTCCCAACAGATACCGCATCAATTTTTCATTGCATACAATTATTTTGGATCCTTTTTTCCCTTGTATGACCACATAGTCATATTAACATGCTCATGTATACTGCCTCTATTTTTTGTTCTTGTTATCCTTCCAATGTCCAACATTGACTATCATACAGTAGTCCGATAAAACTTTTTTACTTTAAGTTCGATAGTTATTTTGTAGTCACAAATGGCTCGTAGTCTCATAAATGACTTCTAATGCATCCTAATGAAAGATAAAAAAAGGCGGAAAATGTGTAAGAAAAGGGATTCCCCCCCGCCTCTTTTGATGTCTAAAATTAGTAAACTTATACAATTGTTTGTGGCATTTCTATATCTAGCTTCTTAAACAATGTCTATGCACATGATTTTGGAAACTACTATACGTTTGGGTCTAGTTTCATATCAATCCCATTTGTGCTTAGAATGTTCTGTCAAGGTGAAAATGTCTTGGAGAAGCTATATTTATGATATGATTACTCAGTTATTGTTGCAGAATATTATAGTGTAAAATTTTATTGTAGTTTGCTTTTGAGGTGCGTGTTTAATGCTGCCTTGCAATTTAACAATTAAACATCATACGTGTTTGATACAGGAAGGTTGGTGTGACAGTATGGGATCTGTTGAAGAAATTCAAGCCAAATTATTGAAGAGACAGGAGGCTGCAGCTAAACGAGAGAGAGCAATGGCATACGCTCTGGCACATCAGGTAAGTTACTGCTTGTTGTCGAGGCATGCAGGTTGGAAATGTGCATGTGAGAAATTTACCTTGAATCTTTCTGGCATTACATGTGAGAAATTTCTGATATTTGTGATAATGAGTTTCCATTAGATGTGGGAACATTATATTTGTAAAACCCTGGAATGAATTGTCCGTGTACATGCAATCGATTTGGCCTATAATCTTATGTTGGTTGTGGTTTTGTTAGGACCACTTTCAGAGACCTAGGAAGATACATGAAGAGGGAAAATTACTTTTTGTTGGGCAGAAGTTTGACTTGCTAGTTTGAAGAAAGAACTAGAAAGTAGAGTAGCTATAGGATCGCTATAGTCAAAGTCTATGAGTTGGGGGCTGCGAAAGTCATTTTTGGGTCCATAAATTTGCCCTTTTGGTTGAGCAAGGGGGCAGAGAAGAATTTTGACAAGTGTGGCTGAGTTCTTTGGTGGGAGAGAGCCAATCCTCTCGAAAGATTGGTATCCTACTGTGTGTTGTATCTTGTGAGAGTTGTATCTGAGTGTATTGTGTCTTTTGTTTGTCATATATAGTGTCTTTTATGCAGTAAAAGTAAATCTTAAGTATTCCTGTTCTGTGTTGTTTATTTTTGGTTTTTACTCTTGTTTATAAGCTTCTTTAGTAGAGGGTTCTATCAGGTTCCAACTTCCAACGTCTAGTTTATCTTTTTTTCATTTTTGATTTATGTGATATTGACTGTAAAGGGTGCTTATAAAATGGAATTCAATTTTGAAGATCAGTTCCTCAACTATTCAATTACACCCTTTTTTTTTTTTTGTGGGTGTACAAACGGGGCTGTAAGTCCAAAATACTACAAAGCAACAACACAACCATTCAATTCTATTGATGCCCGGGAGTTGTAATACTTTTTTTTATTCCTGCCCAAACGTTTGTGAACAAAATCTCTTTTTATTTCAGTGGCAGGCGGCATCAAGACAGCAGGCTGCTTCTTCTGGATTTGAACCAGATAAGAGTGGCTGGGGTTGGAATTGGCTGGAAAGATGGATGGCTGTCCGTCCTTGGGAGAATCGTTTTCTTGACATTAATACAAGGGATGGAGTAATGGTGTGTGAAAATGGAGCAGTGGAGGGTAAAAATGAAATCAGATCTCAATTAAGATCTGCTAGCAAGAAATCGGTTCTGCCAAGTATTAGTCCAAACCTTACCAGTCAGAAAACCGGGCCATCATTATCTGATGGTTGTGACTCTTCACCTAGCAAGTCTGCTGGTTTGCTGGAGGCATCAAAACCGCAGATTAAGACGAAATCTAATGCAAATGTTGCAACTGAAGAAGCCAACTCAAAACCTGGGCTTGGTTCGAGATCTCATAGTAATCCGAAGGAGCGAACCACACAAGCTGATAAACAGGCAAAAAAAAGATTATCTCTGCCTAACAATGGTGAGCCACTCTATCTGCCTTCTTCCTCTACACGTCTCTGATATTCACCTTAATGCTGGTAGCTTAGATGGATGGGTGAACAGCTAAGCGTGCAGGTTGTTCTTTCCCTTTAGGATGACTTCAAGCACCTTTGTTTATATAAATATTTACCTTTCGTAGAATTCGCCTCTTGTTAAAAAATGTTGGCACGTGTGGCACAAGGCCAATTTCACTGTAGCCTCTTTATGCTGAATTCGGGCTTTACTTGGTGTGGTTCTAACCCGGCATCTCCTTAACTAAAGGTTCTTAAATATTACTCCTCTGGTCCTTAATATGAGATTTATTTAATTAATTTGATTAAATTAAAAAAGTTAAGTTAGTTAGTTAATTATAAGAAATATGAGATGATTTTCCTAAAACACCATGATCATCTTTTTTAATTATGGTTGAGGGAGTATCCATAAAGGTAATTTAGGAAAAATTGATAAATATGAGAAATAGGTCTTATAGCTAGGATCAAAATCAACTCAATAATTAGGTCCTATATTAAGGACCGGAGGAGTATGACATAATAGACTGATGTTTAACGTTACCACTGATGTTATCCCTTTGCAATTTTGATGTAGAAACTCTGTTAATGTCTTCTGGTAAGAATGATTCTATAAAAAATTAGTTTCCTGATTTCAAGGATGCTTGCGAAGATAAAATAGAAAACATCTAGCAATCAATATGATGAAATTTCCAAGCCTAATTAAAGATTGTGTTTGGTTCGAAAGCGAAACTTATAAATCTGGTTGTCTCAGCAGGGGGAGGCGCCGGAGCTCAAACAGCCAAAAATCCTGCCAGAACTAATGTGAAGGGGGCAATCAGCACTCAAAAAGCTGTTCGTGACAAGCCTAAGCTCAGTGGAAGAGGCGATGTGAATTCAACAAAAACTGTTCCTCAACACGCAGAAATGTAATGCTAGAGAAATAGCCCCACCTCTCTCCAACTTAGGCACCTGCCCGTTGTCTGTTTGTACATACTATCCATGCTTTGTGATTATTAGGGCTTGAAATCGGTATGCACAAGATCCTCCATGGAGATGCTGATTTGCTGTGGTAGTGAGCGGGTTGGTTGCTTGGGTTCCAGGATATTGGCTTGGAGGAGTGTTTTCGAAGTTGACAAATGTTTGTTGTAATTATGCATTATTTATTCTTGTCGGTTGTGATAATGCGGTATTTATCCTCAACTGTACAACCTCTGGAGTGCGATTGCGGGGTATCAGTTCTTTGTGTTCTTTTCTAGGAACATACAGGTGTTTTTTTGTGGATGAAGCTGGAGAAAATGAGGAAAGAGTTAAATAAAACATCGTCTATATTGCTTTTAATTTTAATAAAAGTCAGTTTATTAAGTATTCTTCCTATTCTTAATATACCATCTAATTATTGAGTTGATCTTAATCCTAAATATAAGATTTTTTTTATCATATTTATCAATTTTTTTAAATCATTTCTATTGATACTCTTTTAATCATAATCAAGTAGGAGAAGAAGAGAGGATATTAAAGAAAATAATTATGGTATTTTACAAAAAATGACATTTTTTTATAATTAACTAATTTATATAACTTTTTTAATCTTATTAAATTAATTAAATAAGTCTTAGACCGAAGAGTACATTTTATATAATAGTAAAATATAATACGAAATATTTTTGATATTTTATAAAATATATTGATATGTTAATTTTTTTCTTCCTTATAATTTTGTTTTATAATATTATTTTGCATATTTTGAGACCTATCTTACTTCATGAACGGTAACATGCTTCCGCACGATAACATTTGCCAGTTTTATGTAAAAGCACATATTACAAATGTAGTTACTTACTGTACCCCAAAAAAAAAATGTAGTTACTTACAGTTACACTCCCCTGCCGTTTTCAAGACTTCCGCATTTGAGATATTTTATTTTATCCCCACTTGGATCAGGAATGATCCTTTTTGTTTTTGAGTGGGAGAGAGAATCAGGACCAGGAATGATCCGAAATCCCCTTAAAATTTTATGCGTGATCTTTTGAATTACTATTATTACAATAAAACAATGAATGTCAAATTTACAGTTCACCCTTTTTTTTCCCGAGAAAATAACAATAAAGACTTGCTTAAGAGAATTAAATATAAAAAAATCTTTTTAAATTATCAAATTATTCTGAAATTTCAAAGAATTTCATTGTAAGAGATCTATTTGTTTAATTGCCAAATTATTCTGTTTTTTAAATATGCATTGGCAACTGAAAGAGTAATTATTAACAATTTAAGTTGTAATGATTAATAATTATCAAGATAGGTATTTACAGCACATTTTTTCAGAGCATCATAAAAATATAATATATAAGTTGTTAATATTTGTCTTGATAATTATTAATTATTATATCCTAAATTATTAACAATTGTATTTTCAGTTTCATTGTAATTTGTCCCATTTTTTTCCCCTCTTCTGATGTGATGGTTATTATTTTCCCAATAACCATCCTCCGAGGCTTGGCACGTTTGGCATTCTACTACTGCCGCCCTAACAGACGCCGTTGCTCGTGTTACCGTAACCTCAGGGAGCTACGCCGTCACATATAACGGCGAACTTCCTTCCCACCTTGCACCAACCGTACTGAGGGATTAGGCGACGCTTTCCCAATCATCGACTCCGCCCTTTCCATGTCTTCGTCTATACTAGTTGAAATGAGACTCCCCGTTGCCTCTCCACCGGCTCTCGTCCTCTTCCCTCATTCGCCTCTTACCAGTACAGTGTTCGCAGACACCCAACATAAGCCCACCGAAGCTCCTTTTCAGTTTTCTCTCACTTTCCCGGGAAAATAAAATTCACATCTTTATGAGCTCTCTCCCACCGAGTTTCTCACAATTCCAGGCCTTTCTGCTGAAATTCAGTTGCGCACTTTCTCCCTGAATTTCCCGCACTTTCTTTCACAATTCCAGACCATGTATCCCACGCTCTATCCCCACGAGTTTCTAAACCCTTTTCATCGATTTCACCTCACTTTCTTTCCCCCCTGAGATTTGCTCCTAGTTCAATGTTCTCGACCCCGTTTGTTCTCTCGTTCTCTCTTCTTTTGTCTCTTCCAATCCTCTTCTTCTTCCTCGCCCCTCACATCCTTCCTCCTCGACACTCCGTCCCCATTTCCCTTGACGACGAGCTTGACGATCTTGCTCTCTTCCATCGCGCTGCTGCACAATCGTCCACGTCGTCCAATCCTAATAACCCCAACCGCCACTTCCATCTTTCGTCATCTAAGAACCCGAAGCTCAAGATCGCTTTCTTATTCCTCACAAATTCTGACCTCCATTTTGCCCCTCTCTGGGATCAATTCTTCAAAGGCAACCCCACCGATTTGTATAACATTTATGTTCACGCAGATCCTGCCGTAAATGTCACGCGCCCCACCAGCGGCGTTTTTAAGGGACGGTTCATCCCGGCCAAGCGGACCTTCCGCGCGTCTCCCACGCTCATCTCTGCCACCCGCCGGTTGCTCGCCACCGCACTCCTAGACGATCCCGCCAATTCCTATTTTACCGTCCTCTCGCAATACTGTGTCCCTCTCCATTCTTTCCGATATGTCTATCATTCCCTTTTTGTGTCCCCAACCTTCGATTTGACCTCTTATGAATATGATCCTGAAGCGGCTCGCTTGGGTGTACGACTGAGGTACAAGAGTTTCATCGAGATTCTCTCCAAGGAGCGTAGCCTTTGGAAACGATACATTGCTAGAGGTCGATTCGCAATGAAGCCCGAGGTGACATTCGAACAATTTCGAGTTGGATCTCAGTTTTTCACGCTCACCCGCCGACACGCATTGTTGGTGATAAAAGATCGGGTCCTCTGGGGAAAATTCAAGTTGCCCTGTTACAGAGACGACGAGTGCTACCCAGAAGAGCATTATTTCCCTACCTTGTTATCAATGGCAGATCCAGATGGTTGCACCAAATACACCCTAACGCGTGTCAATTGGACGGGTACAGTGAATGGGCACCCTTATACGTATCATCCCGCTGAAGTATCGCCGGAGCTGATTCATCAACTCCGGGTGTCGAACCACTCGGAATCTTATTTGTTTGCCCGAAAATTCACCCCTAATTGCTTGGAAAAGTTGATGGGCATTGCTAAATCGGTCATATTCAAGGACTGAAATCTGAACAGGGTATGTTGAGTTCCTGTTTCTGTTTTCTTTTGTTGGGGGCGTTGTTAAGTTTGAGTTGATTAAAGGATAAACAATATGGATTTGCCAAAACCTAATAGATGCCTACCAAATTGTTTACTTGAACATTTGCATACTCTGTCATGTGCATCAGTCCATATCTTCTCGTATCATTATGCATGCTTCTCAGGTTGGGAGTTACTCTTTACTTCTATATAAGCCAATGTCAGATTCACTTTTATGACGGATGCGCCTGGCATTAGATATTAGATCTCAGGTTTGATGCTTTTACTTTATCCTGTTATCCACTAACATTGGCTGGCCTGGCATTCTTGGTTCAATTTCTCTTCGTTCTCTCTGCTAAAGATGCGCCTGAGATTAGTTCCGGAGTCAAAGAAAGATCCTACTTTATATTGTGACTTGTGAGTGGCTCGTTCTTCTGAAGAATAGATTATTTTTAGGGATTAGGGGCATGTTTTTGAGATGAAGCGAAGTGTTCTCTCCTTTTTGCTTATAGATTGTGTCGTTGCTTTTGGCACTTATGCCTGCTTGGTTTATGACGAGAGTAAAACGTTTGATGCCATCTTACTTAAATGCTGGCGGTTAAAATAAGTGTGCTTGTAGTTACTTTTCTTGTTTTCTTTAGGGGTGTTTTTCTGCCCTATCTCCTAGAATTTCACACACGCTCCACTTGAGCTAGCGGTGCTAACCAATTCATTTCTAATTTTATTCTTGCAGGCGAAAAGGGTTAAGAATTCTCTAATGATATTGGAATTTTTTGCCGTTGGAATAGTTTGAGGGGGAGCTATAAGGTTTGAAGAGGCATGAACAGCTCACAACCTATACCACTTAAGATCTCCGACGCAAAGAGCCGAGACAAAGTAATACTGATTCAGGAAAGGAATCAGAAAAGCAGGTGGATGTTGGACACCAACGCGAGCTAAAACCTAAAAGGAAAAGGCAGGTACTTGGGTCATGTGTATCTTGTTGGCGTAAAATAGACGGTAATGCTCAATTAGTTGCCAACTTGCTATGAAAGATTACGTTGGTCAATTTTTTTTTTTTTTTCCTTTTGTGGGATGTTTCTGTACAGAGTTGTGGACAACATTGATCAAAGATCTACAGTGTACTTTAGGATGAAACGAATCCTGTTGCCTAAACTTGGGGGAACGGACGCTGCAAGTAGTTTTTTTTAAGGGAAAAAAAATGCTTCTGGCCAATTGCTTATTCCTTCTAATTTATTTACCTTTATTTCCACTCTTCAAAGAAATTCAATGTAGATCCAAGAGACACGTAGAAATGATGAAAGTAGATTTTATGATGATGTTTATTTGAGCTATTTATGAGATAATGTAATTATGCTGAAAGCAGATTTTTTTTTTTTTTTTACACCATGTTTACTTGATGTGTTTATGTATCTGTATGAGTTTCGTCGCTCCCTCCCTGCCCCCTCTTTCACTTGTTTTCTTTTTTGTTCATTGGGAAACTGCTTTTAACAATATTTTAGTCCCTTTTCTCCTGTGAGAAAGGATCAGACATTTTAGTTTGATGTGGCTTAGAGGTTGAAGCCTGGGAATTACGGCCAAAATCACCGACAAAAAATACAAAATCATAGAAACGAGGCCAGTTGAGGCCATGAGCCTGTAGAACCCATGGCCACGGCCGTGGGTGTGTCACTGTTGATACTCAATTGTTACAGTAAGGTTCATGAAACTAAGTAACTAATGTCCATTGAAAAATATGATAAATTTCGTAAATCCCAAAACTCTGGGGGGGCGGGGCCAAGAGATTCCTTTTTTTTGAAAAAGAGCAATTGGTCCGACTGAGATGTGATGGCGATTTTTTTGTTTGGGGGGGGGGGTGTGTGCGGCCAGCTGGAGTCTGCTTAGCGAGAGGCTTCCTGGAAGTATTCAAAGCGCTTCCGCTTCTTCAGTCTCAATTCCATCCTACCAAACGGGTGATTACTAGAGAGACGGTGATATGGTCCCCTCGAGTGGCGCGTTTATTGCTTTGCTGGCTTTAATGGGAATGGTGTGCCATTTGTATATACCGACAATAACTCATCCTTCCAGCACATTCGTCGCAACCCATCTTCCGTCTTCCCCCCGGATGAGGAGATGCGCCCTTTTCCTAATGGCGATTGTCAAGGCTAGCAGTTCCAAAGCTCACATTCTTGATTTTGGACCAAAGATTATAATTATGTTTGTGGTGGATGCTTTCTGATCTAGTCTCAGTTGCAGGTGATGGTGGGACAAGGATGTTTATTATTTTGTATTATTACTCACCTAAACGAGGTTATGTGAGTCAATTTGTCGCAGTGACGCCGCGGGGATAGGAAAAGGGTTTGCGTTAGGTAATTAAGTTGTTAACTTGCCACCATATTTGGGCGAGTCCCAACTAATCAAAATGGACATTTTGTTCTCAAGTTATTGGATCTGCCGTGAAAATCTTACACATGGCCACCTAATGATGAAGGCCTCAACTTTGTTCGATTGCCAATCACATGGCCGTTATCGTCTGATAGTACTAGATTTATTTGTTTAATTAAAATTAAAATGTGGGACAACATCAAAGAAAGATGGATGTCGTGGTGCCGCGTCGTCTCTCTTTTGAATGAAATGTTTCAACAAAGCCACCTCTCTTTTGTTATTTTTCACAAATAATTAACTTAATTTTTTTAATATTTATAAATTGATGATATGACTGTTATATTTAGAATTGGAGAAATACTACCTCTGGTATTAATTATAAAGTCTTATTTTTAATCCATAAAGAAGGTCTTATTTAGTATTTTGATGTTATCATTTACTTGGGTTGAAAGAAAGGTGTTGCTGATTCGGATTTAGATTTGGGTGTTGTTGGCCTTCACCTTCCCGGAAATACAAGCAAAGCATTATGGTGATTGACACAATCAGTGGGTGATTATTAATCTTTTTAAATTTCCTTTTCTTTTTCTTTTTTCTAGTTATCTGTCCCGAAATAATAGTCTGATCTTATCACCACGGTGGCTTTAAACGAATCGTTCAGTGGAAAGGGGTGTGGTTTCCCTTGGGCCCAACAACAAAAGGCTATGCCTCTTTTGCTTTTAGGCCTCTGCGGAACGGGTTGGCCTGAAAAGTTCCTTGTTGTCAAGTTTGAGTAAGGATGTACCAAGAAAAAAGTTTGATTAAGGAAAAATAAAAAATTATGAATTATAAGTACAGATACCGGCACCATTACCGTCAATGTAAAAGTCAGTGGAAGGAGGTCCATCCTTATCGGCTCGGTTTAAACAAAAAAAATTGAGATATTTGCTTTTTTGGGGGGGATTTTTATGGCTTTTTTTTTTTGGGGATATTGATTGATTATTATATCTGTTGATCCATAAAACTGGCCAAATAAAAAAAAATAGAAACAAAATACTCGGATGAAAAAGTCCATCATAATTGCATATTTCTAAATTTTTTAAATTCATTTAAATGTTAAAATATAGAACTTCTAGCTGGTATAACTCCATCGTGGATATGTGTCTATTGTTTCTTTTATTTATTCATGCTTATTGTATCATTATGATTGATGTGAGGGACAAAAAAAAAAACGAAATACACAGGGGAAGGCATCTAGTTTTATTTACCTTAAAGAGCTAATATTGCAAAATCAAAGAAACTCTTGCTATTCTTGGATGCTCTGTGACTTGTTTGTTTGCATGAATAAAAGGGAAAATGTTATTTTTCCTGTAATATATTTTCAGTATTTTTATAATAATTTTTTGATCTAAATATAAGAACTAATTAGAAAGTTGATTTTAGTCATAAACATTAATTTTTTTGTTCAAGAAGAGTTCGAAATTTTTCATTTTCTATGTTTTATATTCAGACTCCATTTTTCCCCCCTCCCTCCGTGGAAAAGGCGGGGTCATCTAAGAATGTCACCTGAAGGAACAAAGCAGCTAAATAAAGCTAAATGAGATAAGGTGATGGGATTGTTTAGCTGTGTATCTCCATCACTGTAATTACTGTATTTAGTGTTACAACGACTTTTCTCCTTATTTTGACTTAATCCCCACATTAAACATGAATTAATCATTTAGCATATTATATGTAGCCATTCTAAATAATTAAAAAGCAGCTGTAACATTAATTATCAATCGTCATATATCAAGTTAACCTTGTATTCTGAGCTAAATCAAATTAGTAGAAGATGACTAATTAATATTAGATTCAAATAAGTACTTATTCCTTTTCCTTTTTTTTAGTCAACCAGGCAGAATGAATTTATTAATAGTAAAAAGTTTACAAGCAACAATAATAAGTACTCATTCCTTTTCGAATATGAGGCATGCTTTATGGAATATACAAGCCACCTGATTCGAACAGCAATTAATAACTTTTTACTGAGTAATACAATTTCCCTGTATCGAAAAAAAATTAATGACTTTTTACTTAAAATGAAGCATATCAAAACTGGGGGGGAAAAAGCAAATAGTTAGTGATGGGTGGTATAAATTTCTTGAAAAAAAGGATTAACTATTTCCGCTTCTTATTTTCCTCGGATATGCAGTTATTTTTCTTCCCCTCTTCCTTCCGTTTCCAAATTCCAAAGACGGAAAAAGGAGACCCAAGTTCCTAAGCGAGAAACTAGTAGGATAAAGTTGACAGTAACACTACCCTTCGCCGGTTGTCACCGACCTATCACTCCTCTGCAATCTCTCTGTTTTTTCTCTTTTTTGTTTTTTTGCCAGCACTCCTCTGCAACCTCCACCTTGCAGAAAAGAAGCCTTAAAGAATACAAAGCTATCATTAACGTAGATTCCAATCGGGTCTACTATGGTTGCAAAAATGGCGGCATTGGTGATGCTCATCCTGACGCTGCTGGTAGTTTGTCTCGACGCTCAGAACACCAACAGGGTCTACCACCCATGCGTTGATACCAAGATTCAGAGATCTGATGGCTTCACTTTTGGCATTGCTTTCAGTTCCAGGGATTCGTTCTTCTACGACAAGTCCCACCAGCTCTCTCCATGTGACAGCCGTCTCGGTCTGGCTTCGTCGTCGAAGAACTCGCAGCTCGCATTGTTCCGCCCGAAAGTCGATGAGATCTCCCTCCTCTCTATCAACACCTCTAATTTCTTCCCGGTACGCGTGCATTTCACTTTCCCTTCTTTTGTTCCCAGTATTGGATGCAGTTCCTTTCTAATTTCTGCTCTTAGATCTTACTTTTGCATTCGATTTCATCTTGTTTCTGAAGCTGGAATTCAGAGAATGAATGTGATGGTTACTACTATTTATTGGTTTAAATATTGTTATTGTAAATTGGATGGCAACCCAGGGTTACTGTAATCCGGATAGATGCCTTAGCTATTGTTTGCCATTTGCTGCTTCCCTCTTTGCTGTAATTAATTTATAAGAGCACTTAAATTCTGCTTTGACTCGAATCTGCTTGAAGATGTTTCCCAAAAGCATTTTAACTTTTTAATGACTTTTACTAACAGATAAGGATGAAGCAGGATAAAACAATATTTCATTTTTAAAAAAACAACAAATCAATTTATAAGTATAGTTGTGTGCTGAAAGAGAGAAGAGAGATCATTGTTATAAGTTCTGATCTGCACTTGTCACTTCATTTGTTTTCTACCAATAGTGTTGCCTTGTTCTTGATGGCAACAAACGTTGTTGGACTTCACATTGAAACTGGTCGTTTTTTTTTTTTTTCTCGTTGACTTCTGTTCATTGATATTGCCACTGAAGTCGCCTGCACACTCTTGATTGTTAAAATTATCTATTTTTCTCCTGCTTCTATCTTTCCATGCTCGGATTCAGTTTCTGCTAATGCTATTTCTGTCACGTCAAACCATATGCCTGATTGTGAATGTCAGTATGTATTATATTATTATTTTATTGTAGAATATTATTCAATCTCGACAAACCTAGTTGCATTACTATGTCTCCTTTTCACTTATATTTCTTCACGAAGAACCTGGATTATGAGCACAAATTATCCACGGTACTGAACATATTATTTTGAATTGCCGAAGGAAACATAGTAAAGTTAAGAAATAAGAATCATTATTCCTTAGTAGGAAAGCAACTGTACCGAATGAAATTTTTCTATGCGTAATGTATCATTAGGTTAATTTGTGTGTATATAAGAAGACTCTAATTGATGTTCAAATTAGTAAGATGAGTGGCAAAAAAATCTATTTCCACATGATGATAAAACGGATTCTTGCAGGCGACTGAATCTTAGGGGGGCTTTGTAGACTTAGTTTGACATATGATTTGTCTGTCTATTACTCCCTTTGGCTCTATTGATAAGACACTTGGAGGAGGTGTCTTTGGGTCCTTTACATAAGGCACCACATTGATTATCTATTACCAATTTTCCCTTTTACCCTTATTTAATGTTGATGTGGGAAAGTAAAAGACCTTTTTAAACAAAATTAACGAGTTTAAAGGTTTTTCTTGATTCCAGTGAAAAATATTCATAGTGACTCATAAACAAGATAGATGGGAGCATATTATACATGAACAAAACTGTCAATGTCTTCGTTTTCAAGAAAAATCCGCTTAAGTGTTTCAGCCACTGGACTTTTGAGAAGCCACAGTACTTCAGAACAACTTGGTGGTTAGACTGAGATTCTGAGGACAGGGCCACTCAGACAGCACGAATGTTTTGATATACAATCGTTGTTCTGAAAAGATATACTAATACTAGCATGTCTGCAAACTGCTTGTGTAGATGAGAATCTTATGTTCTTCTGAAAAGAAAAACTAGAGAAGCTAAAAACAAAGTTTGCATCCGAGGATCTTCTTCATTATTACTGAATTGGATTCTTTTTCGTTTCATGATACATAGGATTCTTATGGTGGGTATATGGTGGCATTTGCTGGACGGAAATATGCTGCAAGATCTCTACCTGCGTTTGTTGCAAACAGCACATACATTGTGACAAGTTCTACACTGGTAAGAATGTTAAATCATGGACATGACAATTTGAGATTTTGGCTTTTTCGTAACCTGTTTGATCATCTTGGATTTGTCAAATTAGGTGCTCGAGTTTAAGAAGGGCAGGCTACAGAATTTGTACTGGAAGAGAGACGGATGTGCTTCATGCAAAGGAAAATCTAACTTTGTTTGCCTCAATAAACAAGACTGCGCAATTAGAACATCATCTTGTAAGAATCGGGGAGGTTCAGTGGATTGTAGTCTTGGGATCCAGCTAGCGTTTTCTGGCACAGACAAGCATCTCACAGTGCTTAATTCATGGTACGAAGTCGAAAACATGCGCCAATATTCACTTTATGGATTGTATTCAAATCTGAGGGGCTCCCTGACCAGCCAGTACAACAAATTCTTTTAGCCAGAAATTTTCAATTTTTCCCTGGAGTTTGCTTGTTTGAGACGGTCTTGTAATTTCTCGGTGCTGCTATTTGTGTTTATTATTGCTGATTCTTGACATATTTGTTCTTATTTTGCGATTTATAACGATGCCTTCAGATTTTATTTGTTATTTTATGCCTAAGGAATGTATTGACTCTAAATGGTTACGTGTGTATCTCTCGTTTGGCCAAAGGGAAAAAACTGTTTTTCCCTCGAGAGTATTCGTTCATCGGAGCCTCTTGTTCTTGGCGTTGCATTTCTTCAAGCCTCAGCAGCTCTTTGCAGTTCTGGGAACTGCTCTTAAATTCAAAACCTTAATTCCTTAAACGTGCTGGGGGAGGGAGAGAAAAAAACCCCGGGGCCCGGGGGTCCCAAAACGAAAGACGTGATTTGAAGAATCATATTACAGACACTAGATATTAGGTGGTTAATTTAAGTAGCTTAAAAAAATTTGTTAAATTAATTATTTGTAATGAATAGGTATTGTTTTTTTTAAAAATACTCTTACCAATCAAGTGTATTAGCTTTCACATTTGATAAAAATTTTAACATGAGCAATAACTATAAGGATTATTTTAGAAAAAAAATGAATAACTACTATCTCTGGTCTTTAATATAAGAGTTGATTTGACTTTTATTGTAGTCTTAAATATAAGATTTTTATCTACTTTGTTTTTCATATTTATTCATTTTTTTAAAAATAGTTCTTGCGATAATGATAGTTCTTGTCAATATACTTAATCCATAAGGGCATTTTAGGAAGATAAAACTTATTTATTACAAATAACCAACTTAACTGGTTTTCTTAATCTACTCAAATGAATCAACTAGCTTTTATATTAAGGATCGGAAGTAATATGAGAGATAAAATAGATTGAGGTTTTATATTTAGGATTAAATTAAAAGTGGCTAATTTGAATAGATTAAGAAAATTAGTTAAATTAGTTATTTATAATAGATATGTGTTATCTTTTTCAAAATACCCTTCCTAATTATATGTATTAGCTAAAACCGTCATTTAATGAAATTTTTAACATGTGCAATTATTACAACGATTATCTTGAAAGAAATGAATAAATATAAAAGACAAAATGCATTAAAATTTTATATTTAAGATCAAATTAGTTCTTATACGAAGAATCCAAGGAGGTAATAGGTTGCAAAAAGATATACATTAGTTCAATGATTCGTATATATACTATTACAAAACTCAAGGTTCTTTAATCATGTACTCTTCTGGTCCTATTTATAAGGAAGAAAGGGAAAACATTTGTCCTATTTATAAGGTAGAAAGGGAAAACATTTTTTAGTCTTATTTATAGGGCATTGAGAGAATTTTTTATATAGATGTAAAATTTTACCCTTCATTTATTATTATATTGATTTTGTTTAGATGAGGTATGATGTATATTAAATAGGAATAAAGTTGAAAAGTTGATGAATTTTAAATGAGAGATATAATAATTATAAGAAATCTGATGTTAATGTTGTCCTTGTTCATTAATACATGAACTAGGAGTAATAATTGTTTACATGTCCCTCTGTTTTTATTATTCTTTGGAGGCAACCTAGCTCTCTTCGTTTCTCACGGCGCTGTGCGAATGCCATTTCAAGCTAGAGGTGTCAAAATCAATTTAGGTTAGCCAGTTTAATTTACCCATTCAAGGAAGGGGGGCGGGTTTGAGATTTTATTCAAGAGTTCTCTGGTACAATAAAATGAATCATGCTGCATAAGTTAAACAATCAAACCACAAGTTCTGTGGCTTCACTTGTTTAATCCACCATATTCACAAATCATATTACTGGTCCTTAATACAAATATAAAATTTAATTGATTAATTTGGAGAGATTAAAAAAACTCAATAAATTATTTAATTATAATATATATTATGATCTCTTTAAAATATTATGTGTATCACTAGATCATGTACTACTAGTTCAAATTATAAGAGCTAATTGACTAATTTGAAAAGATTAAACAAAGAAGCTAAGGTAATTATTTATAATAAATAGATGTTGTCTTTTGTAAAATATTCTTGTTGATCAAGTGTATTGGCAAGAATTAGCATTGTTAAAAAGACTATCTTGAAAAAAATACATAAATATTAGAGATAAAGTGGATTAAAGTTTTATAGTTAGAACAAAAATAAAAATTAAACGAGATCTTATATTAAAGACCGGAGGTAGTATTATCAATTTATAAGTCAAGTAAATTAATTTGAAAAAATAAATAAATTTAAATACTATCCAATAATGTATTTAGTTTTTTTAGTTTTTTAAAATTAATTAATTAAATTTATATTAAGAATAAAGGTTAGTATAATGTTGTCCACGTTATAGTGTACAAGAGTTAATTTTGTTTACAATCTTCTCTAATAAATATCACTCCCCCATTAACACGAGTTGATCCAGCTGGTAAGAAGTCAGTTCATAACCCATAAGATTATAAATTCAAATCCCACTGCTGATGTTAAGGACCTTATTAATAAGCAATTTGTAAAGACTTTGTTGGTGGGCAATCTGTTTAAACTTTTTGTGTATAAAAAAAAAAATGTGTGTGTATATAAATAAATATATATATATATATATATATATCGTTCCCCCGCTACCCCTCATTCTTGCTTTAATTTTCCCTCTTTTTAAGGTGACATTTTGCGCTTTTTATGGTCTCTTAAAGCCGCGCCCCCGGGACGCCTGGGCAAAAAACCCCACCTGACCAGGGAAAAAACAGATGGATTTTTTTTTTTGAGGTGAAAATATAGATATTGAAAAACGGTGCCCCTCGATCCTCGTCCGGAGAATAGAAGTGTAGAACGGAGAAGAAAAGCTTTCGAGACGACAGGTAGGATTTTAGGGTTTTGGACAATAGTTTCGTGCTGACACTTGTTTGGGGCTTTCCTTCCGATTCTAACTACAATGGGAAAGAATCAGAAGTCGGACCTGGGGAGGGCTCTGGTTAAGCAGCGCAACCAGATGATCCAGCAGAGTAAGGAAAAGGGTCGGTTCTACAAGAATCAGCAAAAGAAGGTTTTAGAATCGGTCACAGAGGTCACCGACATTGATGCCATCATTGAACAAGCAGACGAGGCCGAGCGTCTCTTAGTCGCCAACCACCCCGCCCCTGACCTCCCCATTAGTCTGTGAGTTATTTTCCATCGAATTTGCGGCAAGAAGAGCTTGTAATTTCCTCTTATTCCTTTTTTTTTCCTACTTAGATTGCAATTTTATCTCGATATCTAAGCTGGGTATTTTAACGGTTAAGCTCGAAATTTCCCTGAAAGGTAATGTATTTGCCTTTTTTTTTTTTGGGTGACAATGAATTTACCTTTTCGAGGTTGAGCGGTGCTGCGAAGGCCTTGTTCGGCTTTTGGTTAAAATAAAGAAAAGAAAAATCACGCTGCCTTTGGCATCTCGTATTATTTTTCGATCCTTGCTCCGGAATTTGAAAGCTACAGTGTCTATTCTGTTTAGTGAGCATGTACCACTAAGGGAGACATATCTCCTATTAAATTGTAGTGCTTATACTGAATATTGAATATTAAGCGATTTTATTGCATGGGAGAAGGGATGCAAGCTCTAGCACTAGTGAAATGACTCCTGAAGAGAGGAGAGATCTTCAGAAGAGAGAGGAGGCTCTCCATGCTGGCAGTCTTCGAGTTCCACGCCGGTATTTCTTTTAACCAAATTATTTCTGCAACTCTCCTTTGTCTGTTTGTTCTGACTCTTTGTTCTCCTTTAGGCCGCCATGGAGTGCGAACATGTCCGTGGAGGAGCTTGATGCCAATGAAAGACAAGCTTTCTTGACCTGGCGTCGCAGTCTAGCAAGGTTGAGTTCTTGTGGTTACCTGGTTGATAAATCATCTTAGCTAATTTGAATCGTAATGAATTCATGCTACAGATGACTGATTTATCAGAACTCAGAAGAATAAAATACTAGGACAGTTTTTTATATAGTTTCATTTACGTGTGTTTAATCATTATGTTTCAGACTTGAGGAAAATGAGAAGCTTGTCCTTACACCCTTTGAGAAGAATCTTGATATTTGGAGACAGCTTTGGCGAGTTGTTGAGCGTAGTGATTTGGTAAGTCGATACCCTGCATCTCAATGACTTAGTTATTTGGGATAAGGCTGAAAATTCTTTTCTTTTTTCAATTGAGATTGGAGTGCTCGTTCTGATGAGAAGTAGTTGAAAAATGGTCAATAATGATCTCCAGAAAAAAAAAAACATTCTTAGCCCCAGAGGAAAACTATTCTTGTTATTTATGAGTCTGTGGATAGTCATAGGTTACTTATTAATTTCTCTGAAGCGAATAAGCTATTATTCTATTATGATCTTACTTTATTGCTGGTTCTGTAGCTGTGCTTACTCCTGCCATAGGGAGGATGCACGTTTTGATGTTAGAGGTAGAAAATATTAGCATCCTATAATTGCATTTGCTTTTCGCTTCCAATGTACCTTCTCCATGTAACTTCCATATTGAATGGTTGTTATGTACTGGCAAGTTAAAGGCAAGATCCTCTTTATGAAGTCTCAAGTGTCTGTTCCTTTTTGACATTTACAGTTGATATTAATAGACTTAATAAGATCATTTTAAACTGGTTATTGCCATCTACCCAGATGTTGACTTCTGTCTACCTATGTTTTCAAGACCATGTAATTCTTTTGAAAGCCAATTTATTGTACTATTATTGAGTATGTAAATCTCATGTATATATGTGTCTGTGTTTTTGGCCAGCTTGTGATGGTTGTTGATTCGCGAGATCCGCTTTTTTACCGTTGTCCTGATCTTGAGGTAAGGAGACTATTTTCTTGATTGATGAAGTTTGGATTGTGTACTCAAACTAAGCTGACAAATCTCGAGAATTGAGATCTTCCTCGTCCCTGGCAGATCTATAACAATTGATGTGTTTTAAAATGATACACACGTTAGTTAATGGAGTATAATGATGTTTGGGGTTGCATGATACTTTAACTGGTTTTACTTGATGGAAGTTAATATCTGCACCACCCCTTAAAGCTCATCATCAAATCATGTTTATAAAAGCCACAAATTATTGCTTGTTAATTTTTTTTGTGCTTCTTTGGCCACTACTTGAAAGTCACAGGTGCTACTTAAAAAACCTTCAACTTTACTCAAACTATAAGCGTTATCTTTTACTACTTCAACTCTTACCATTTAGCCTTTTTTTAAGGAAATATCTAACCTTAAATTCCCGTGGCAAATCTC